GCTATTTTATTTATTAATCATTAAGTATAATATTTTATTTATTTCTTAATTCTTAATTCTAGAAAATTAACGTTTCATACTAGATTTTTTGTGATTTACAAGATACTGATATTTAATATTTATGGTTTAATTATGTGAAACACTTGAACATACACTTAAGTCTATTGCTATAATACTAATACGTTAATATTTTAAATCCTAATTTACATGCTCGTTGTTGCATGATAATGATATTTTGTTAATATATTATTTGTTATGTAAGTTTGTTATCACATAACGTTTCATATTGAACAAATATGTTTAATCTAAACTATACTTTAAACAACATACCCGAAAACGTGAAACTTTATAGCATAATTATATTTGTCTAAAAAGAAAGTTGAATTAGTTATCTACTATCAAGAAAAGTCTTTTCGTAAAAAAGAAAATGAATTAGTGGACAAAACATCTACAAATAAAATTTTAACTTTCAAACACACTATATATAAGTCACAAATAAACGCATACGTTAAAATGAATTATAATTGCTTGGAAGTGCATTAGTTTCTTCTCGATCTCTTTTTAAATTACGGAGTATGTTTTGTATTCAATGTATTGTATTACTATTAATTATAGTTTGATGTAGTTTTTGTTTAGTTTTTCAATTACTACTTTTTTAATCAACAAAACTGTTTTGGCATAAATCGAAATAAACCAAAATGAAATAAACCAAATCGTACAAGCCGTGGTTCCAAAATTGTGAACATAATGTTGAATCGAATCGAACCGAACTTTTTACTTTGGTTCGAAATTTAATTTTATGTGAAAACCGAATCGTTTGAACCCAACCCACCCCATTACGCTTTATTAGAGGTTGAGAAAAGAATGTAGCAGTATTCCAAAGTGTAGAAAATGTATAAAAAAAATCGTATATGAAGATGTCAAATATGAATTGTAAGAAATGAAAATTGAACGAGCAGGATACTAAGTGTGCAATTTTTATACATTTGTAATTGCAAAAAGAAGAAGCGTAGAACAAGTGATAGAAATTTCCATAAAATGAAAGTTAACAAATATATCCATACCCGAGCCCCAAATCTCAACCACTTTCATAAATAATTAAAGCATAAAAGAAACAACATTAATTAATTTATAGGAAAATTGTAAAAAAATAAAAACACAAAAATATATAATAAATAAAATATATTTCGTATTAACTAAAACTAATAAATTATTAAAATAAAAACATATTAAATAAAAAACTAAAAAATTATAATTATAATATAAAAAAATACGCATGCCTCTACCGCAACCTCAACAACCTCTCAGCACCACCAGTTCCGATCAACGGGAAAAAATGCCAACATTTATTAAAAATGTCATCGTGATGGCAGTTTTCGAGAAAATTTGGCATTTTCAAAGAGTGCAAATGTCATCTTTATGACATTTTCAAAGAAAAATAGCAGTTGTTACATAAAAAGACATTTTTTCTCCGATTGGAGTTGGCATTGCTAGGTGGTGGTCGAGGCTGCGGGAAAGGCCTCCATAATTTTTTTATATTTTTTAATGTATTTTATCTATTTTGTATTTATTTTTAAAGTTTTTTTAAATTTTTCTTATTTTAATATTTTTAAAAATTTTTAGATTTTTTTCATTTTAATAGGATCAAATTAGTCATATTTTAGAATAAATTAGGTTAGGGGTATTAAGGCAGAAATTTAATGTTTAATCCTATTGAAGGAAGTTTTAAGTTTAACTCCTATTTGTGCAATTATTTTTATGTTTACTTCTTCAATATAGGCCAATTTCTACATTTTATGTGTAGAAAATGTAAAACAAAATGGTTTAGGAAGATGTAAAATAAGAATTGTAAGTAATGAAAAATGAACGAGCAGGAGACTAAGAGTACTTTTTTTTCATTTGTAATTGCAAGAAAAAAACAAAGCGTGGAACAAGTGATAAAAACTTTCATAAAATGAAAGTTTAAGAGTTGAAGTTAAAGATGATAGCACATTTTCTAATGGGATGAGTATGTGACGGTAAAGAACAGTTCTCTTAAACAATTTGCCCCGCCCCAAATTAAGGTGTCAGTACCATTCCAAATATAAGTAGCACCTATCCCATTATGTATCAACTTTCGATACGGTTCAGGACGGTTTCTGGTATCATTCGATTCTTAATTAAATGATGTATATAACAAAATAACGTATAAACTATAAATTAAATTATTATACAGCGCACAATTTCAAAAGTTCTATTTAGACCTTGTGATATGATTGTTGCTTTGTTTCGGTCGATTTTAATATAATCTATTTCCTTTCAAAACAAATTATTATTATTAGGGAAAATCGCACTTTTAGTCCCTGAAATAGTCACCATGTCGAAATGACAAACACGTATTTCTGAGATTGTAAATGTCACCCCTCAATTTTCTAAATTACTGTAAATGTGATCTTCTGAGGGATGAAATGTACTCCTCACCCACATTGTACATTTCGCCCCTCGAAAGACCACATTTATAACAATTTGGACAATTGAGAGGTAACATTTACAAACTAGGGAACACAGATGTGACATTTCAATATCATGACTATTTCAGGGACTAAAAGTGTTATTTTCCCTTATTATTACAGGAATATGTTATATCTTAATTTAAAAAGGTTCTTATTCAGGGAATTTTTTATTGTGTTTCAATTTTTTGTTGGGGACCTAAATAACAATTTTGAGTTTTATTTGATTTAAAGGGTCTCAACAAGGTAATTCCTATCCAATTAAGTAAACAAAACAAGCCAAAAAATATTACTGGTACAAAAAAGATAGGAAAAGAGAAGATTCAAAAGGCCGGTCAAAATAAAAATAAAGATAATGAAACTGACTTGATATGTTTGTATTAGCAGCATAAAATAAAATAAAAAATACTCGAGGAACCATATTTTACATTTGATTGAATATACATGGGTTAGGCTGTAAAAAACATTCAATTGCATTAGGCTAGACCACCTAATTAAACGCTATAGGGTTTAATACTTTCATAAAATTCTTCCCCTGTAATTTCAATTGCTTTTTATAGTAAAGGTCAAACTAATACCTGTAGTATTAACTTAAAATAGACACTTGTGAGTACAATTGACAAAATCTGGAAACAATGCTAGGCATTCTAACTATCAGATATTAAAACTATTATCCTAACATAAAAAGAGCAACTTGAATCATTGATCACCATTCAGACTTGAAGGTATCATTAATCACAAGGTTCTCTTACTTTTAACTAAATAAATAGAGAAAACCAAAATTATCAACTAAATTAACGAAAAACAAGAATAAATACTGTAAAACTAAGTGAAAAAAAAATTAGGCTAAAATAAAAGATGAAAATTTAGATACAAATATTTTTTATTGTGGCTCATTAACTAATAGTCCATAATCAAAAAGTTCAATTATTTGAGGCGGTGACATTTTTGTAATTTAAGAGAAAAGTCGCGGTTTTCGCTAAATAAGCATTAATGTACTTTTAGTGAGCATTTGACCTATTCTACTTAGTATTAAGAGCCTAACAATGAACATCACGATCTCTGCTTGATATCTTCTAATTCACTTTCTTTTTCTTATTTTTTCTTTTATAAAAACTTATTAAATTATATCTATAATCCATTCCCATGAATTTCAATATGTGAATGTAATGTAATATGCTCCTTTTGAAATATGCATTGATATGACAACTTACAAATAAGTATAAAATTTTTACCAAATGAGCACATGTAACTTACAATATGTGCATTGATATGAAAATCGTCAGGTTTGTTAGTTGAATATCACGACATTTTCATTGAGCATCAAACTTCATCTCTTGTGATGAAAATCATGGTTTCTGTTAAATAAAGATTGGTTGACTTTTAATGAGCATCAAACCTATCTTGTTGAGTATTATGAGTCGAATGTTGAACATCGTGATATCTGCTTCATAACTTTTAATTTACTTTCTATTTGTTATTTTCACTTTTATAAAAGTTTCTTAAATTATATCTATAATCAACTCTTATGAATTTCAATATGTGAATCTAATGTCATATGGTACTTTTGAAATATGCATTATATGACATTTTAAAATGAGCATAACATCAGTACCAAATTAACATACATAACTTACAAAATGAGCATTGATATGAAAATTATAAGTTTTGTTAGTTGAGCATCAAGATATTTTCAGTGAGTATCAAACATCCGATATTGAGTACTAGAATCGTGAGATCGATATCATGATTTGTACTTGCGTGTTTATAATCAACTCCTATGTGAATTTAATGTAATATGGTACTTTTGAAATATGCATTGATATAACATTTTAAAATGATCATAACAACGGTACTGAATGAGCATACATAACGTACAAAATGAGTATCTAAAAATTCAAAAAAACTTGTGTGTATTTTCATTTCTTTTAGGCGCATACTCATTTGAGTTTAATATAAAACTCATTTGAGATCAATAGCGACAAGGATTCCTCAACAATAAAGTAGACTCCCCTTGTCTACGAAAATTGGAAGCTCAATCGGCAGCATCTCGAACTCGAACTAGTCTCCGACCTCCACTCTGTCGCGGAACCAGAATTCATCAATCATTGGCTCAAACGGCCGTCTCCCTATATTCCCCTTCTCGCACCAACGACCAATAACGACGATCTCAGGTGTGTGCGATATTCAGAATCAACGGCGGCAACACCATCTCAATTTCTGATGGCGTCAACGTTTACCTAAGCAGCGGTGATGGCTCCCCTGAACTTCGAACGATGGTTGCAGATTACACGAAGAAGATGATCGGCAAAAAAAGGCTGAGAATAACCTACACACATTTGAGAAATCTGGGAGAAGAGTAATATTGAAAACCTTAAGGTTCATTGTTATTACAAAAATACCAGATGTACTTGTACACCCGGATGTAAGATACAAATTGCGGACAAAAATGTCGTATATTTTACTATTTTAGAATGGATTATCAACCGTGACAGGACATAGGCCCAAGCATTTTGATCCAATAATTTGACTAATCCGGTTTAGAAATAAGAAAATATCTCATTCCCTACCCAACCCGAACAGACCAGACCCGGAACCACTTCAATCGAAGAATAGAAGAAGAAAGGGAATTCAGCAAATTCGTTTTAATCGTCATCAGCGATTCGTTCCACTCGTTTATGTTTGGTTTCCATGTATTAATAATCGAATTTGCTGTATTGTGAAGTTTTGCTTACATGGCGGATAACAAAAGTGTGTAATTATTCATCTGGAAGTTCCGAAGCCATGGATACTTCAATAGTTGCTGCAACTGAAACTAATCAAGCTTCAGGTACTCTCATGTATCAATTCACTTCAGTATTTGTTTACAATTTCCCTATTATCGGAAGCTTCTTGAGATATATTTAGCTCTAAAGTATTCTCTAAATAACTTTCTGATTTGATTGTTTCGAACTCTAAAACATATAACGTTTATGTCCAAGTCATGAGCGTTGTGAGCTTACCTATTACATTTACATGTTTAGCGTATCTGAATCTCTCAAAGTGGAAGGTTTTAGATGCCTCAGGGTATTCTATGGAACATGTATATGAGATGGTAAAATGCACCTAAACACAAGGTTGCCCCAGAAAATGTCATTATCTTTGACTCTTTCAGTCTGTCCTATTTTCTATGAGTCGATCTTTAGTTTAGAGACCTACATACGAGAGGATCATTTAGAGAAATTCCTTTAAATCTGAGTGGTACCTATGAAAATTTCCCCTGTTCGTGAATAATTACAATAGTTTTTCAATTTTACCTTCAGATATGGATAATGACGTGAAGAAGAGGTGTTGGGAGCAGAGGGAAGGACTGCCAGATGAGCCAAAATGTATTGTATGTGGTCGTTATGGTGAATATATATGCGATGAAACTGATGATGACATTTGTAGTCTTGAATGTAAATCGATTCTTTTATCTCGGATACAAAAATCTCGAAAACCATCCCCATGCACTCCTCCAGTAAAATTTCCAGGTACTGATGAGTGTTACTATGTGAAGGATGGTAGCAATAATTCTGATTTGAAATCTCTGGACCTTGATAAATCAGAGTTGTTGAGGAGAAAACTCAACATTTCCGTGAAGGGTGACATTGTTCCACCTCCTGTCACATCGTTTTCTTCATGCAATGTTCCTCAAAAGCTTCTTGATAACTTAGAAGTTGCAGGGTATGAAATTCCAACTCCTGTTCAAATGCAAGCTATCCCAGCTGCTTTATCCGGTCAAAGCTTGCTGGTATCTGCCGAGACTGGTTCCGGGAAAACAGGATCGTTTCTAATTCCTATCATTGCGAATTGTGTGAAAATGAATCTAGCTTGTCATGAGAGGAAGCAGAAACCATACAGTGTGGTTCTTGCGCCCACAAGAGAGCTCTGTGTACAGATAGAAGATCAAGCTAAGGTGTTGGGAAAGGGCATGCCTTTCAAGACTGCATTGATTGTAGGTGGTGATGCAATGGCCCAGCAGTTCTATCGTATTGGAAAAGGAGTTTCATTGATTATTGGTACTCCTGGTAGGTTAATTGATCTTCTGATTAAGCATCATGAGATTGAATTAGACAGTGTTTCTATTTTTGTTCTTGACGAAGTAGACTGTATGCTGCAAAGAGGATTCCGTGAGCAAGTATTGCAGATATTTAGGGCACTGTCTCAACCTCAGCTACTGATGTATTCTGCTACCATTTCGAGAGAGGTGGAGAAAATGGGAAACTCCATGGCAAAGCATTTGACTTTTTTGTCAGTCGGGCAGCTGAACAAGCCTAATGGAGCCGTGAAGCAGCTTGCCATTTGGGTGGAGTCAAAACAAAAGAAGCAAAAGCTTTTTGATGTTTTAACGAGCAAGCGGCATTTTAAGCCACCAGTTTTAGTATTTGTTGGTTCTAGACTAGGGGCAGATCTCCTTTCGGAGGCAATAACAATATGTACAGGACTGAAATCTCTTTCCATTCATGGTGAGAAATCAATGAAGGAGAGGAGGGAGATTCTAGGGTCGTTTTTGGCAGGTGACGTGCCTGTTTTGGTTGCCACTGGGGTGTTGGGTAGAGGAGTTGATCTGCTGAGTGTAAAACAAGTGATAGTGTTTGACATGGCAAATTCCATTAAGGAGTATGTGCATCAGATCGGAAGAGCGTCTAGAATGGGAGAGGAAGGTGAATCAATCGTATTCGTTAATGAGGAGAATAAGAAACTCTTTCCAGATTTGGTTGATATCCTCAAATCGTCTGGAGCCTCCATTCCGACTGAGCTGTCTAGTTCGAAGTTCACAATTGGCTCTTTCTCTGGTGGCAGGCATCATCAGAAGAAAAGGAAGAGATTCAATTGAAGTAAGCTGTGTGTGTTCATTGTATTATCTCATCGTTATAAGGTTTGTTTGGATCCAGAAAATGCCATTTAAAGGAAAGAAATTGCGAAAGAAAGAATTCTATTATGTTGTTTACTTTTACCTCGGGAAATGCAAATGGAAATGCAATATGATTATTTGTTTGATATTTTTTTTACATGCTCCGTATATATTTTTAATTTTTTTTTATATAATAGGTATAAATAAATAAAATGACTATAAGCAAATATCTCACACAAATGTATTGAGTTACAACTATATTTTATTTTCTTCCTATTTGTTCAGTTTTCTCTCCTGTTCTTTCCACAGCATTTTCTGGGATCTGAACGGAGGACCCAATGATCCATAAAGACAGCACCTTTTTAGTTATGGTTGCTGAAGTGTCTTGCTGATGATGAAAGTTATCCCTAATGGGAGGTCCTGTGTTATATTATCTGATGGGGGTTCCGAGATCAAGTACTGAAGCTCCTCGCTCAGAAATCAGTGAGATACTAGGAAGGTAGAGGCGCCAGGATGAAGATGAATTTGAAGATCAAGGCTGTTTCCTATCACCCACCTTGATGACAAGGTGGTTGTCTAAGGGGGAGATATGATAGGAACCCATTAGTATAATAATACTAATAATAATAGAAGTATATTAAATAATTGTGATAGTGTATTAAATGCTCCTGAGCCAGGTATTAGTTAGTTTTGGGCTGGCCCATAAGTAAGTATAAATAGAAGGGAGGGAGAAATAAGAAGGGAGGCAGATTTTAGAATTGGGAAATTGGGATCTGGGAGAGTTGAGGCCTCACCTGTATCGTCTTCTTTCTTTCTGCTGTTTTACAATCAGTTTACTGTTATAAAATTAGAATAAAATTAGAGTTCCTATCAACTGCCGACTGACAGATAATGAGAAGCACTGAAGCAGGAATCAGGACACAATGAGAGGTAGGGGATGGTGCCTAGTCAGCTCAACATAGAGAGCATTAGATAACTATTGGTAGATCTAAATTCGTTGTGACTTGTGAATATAAACGTCGCCACAGTATTATAGAATATAGATTATGTTCTCCTTTACTTGTTTATTCCAAAACACTTCTTCATTCAAAAAAAAACTCCTTCTGTCCTTCCTATTAAAACACCTGATTAGACATTTATTCAGCTAATCTTATACATGGAATTGATGATTTAAATCGATTGAGACTGTTTATTCTAAATACAAAATATATGGTGTCATATTTAAAATCTAATATAGACATATACTCCGTATATCTTACTCCCTCCGTCCCAATTTGATTTGCAAAATTTCCTATTTTGGTTGTCCCAAAATGGTTTTCCACTTTCTATTTTAGGTATGTAAATAAGAATAAAGTGACAAATTTACCCTTACCTTTACTTTTTCTCCATTAACTTAAAGGCATCTACTTTTAGAAGGATAGGCAAAAGTGTAAAAAACAAGCATCATTTATTGTCATTCTTTAATCCTTGTGCCAGTCAAAGTTTAGAATTCAATTCGGGATGGAGGGAGTATTATCTTAGTATAGACAGATACCATGGGTGGATGGTAATAGGGGTTAAGGTGGGTTCCAGCCTAGCCCAACCCAATTTTAAATTATTATCATCAGCCCTGCTCAGAGTCATCTTGATTCAAAGGTTACGAGTTGGGCGACAGTCTAAATAGTCATTTTCGTGCTCTCACTCCTTTTCTCCATCTTCAAATTTCATTTTGAGTTATATTTCCTATTATCTTTTCCATCTTGAATTGGACGGCGGGGCACAAAGCCGTTGTGAGTATTAAATTATTAATTATATTTTTTCACATTAGTCCTATTATAGTAATAATCATATTGTTTCTAATATACGTGTGAGCTGTGAGGAACATGTTTCTAGTAGTCTAATTTCTTCTTTTAGTGTGTTTTTTATATTTAGTTTATTTGCATATAAACACTTATTTTTGAAAAATACTTGTAGTGTTTATTTTTGTGTTTTACATTTCTATGCAATTATAGTTATAGTAACAGTGGGATTACCCTTGATGACAAGGAGATACTGATGTGTGATATTTTCCGTTGTTTTGGATCTATAATTCAGAATGATGATGAATTAGATGGAGTGTATCTAATAGAATCAAAGCAGAGTGGACGACACTACAACAAAAGTGTTATTTGCGTCTAAAGTTTTTGGGTCGACACATGTGAACACAAATAAGTAGTCATTTGCGTCAACTTGTGGACACGAAAAACTTACTGAAAAATTATACTGCTGATAGTATGTGTGTTGACGCAAATAAGATGTAGTATTTACGAAATAAGGAACGTCAAAGTATTGGAGTTCTTAGAGTGGTAAAACAAAACCCTCCAAAGAGCAATTGCCCCCAAAAGATGAAATACGGAGTATCATCCAAGCCTCCAAAGGTTGGTCTCCCAAGCTATGGAGACCCTCCGGCAACAACTGGAGCATGCTCGGAGGACATCGCAGGCCTCCACATGAGTCTCCGAGCACATGGATAGTCGGGGATAGACTTTGGATATCGCAGGAACAACACCACTGACCAACTACTAGGACACTACTTTGCTTCGAGCTGGGGGGCAGCACACCTCTACAGATCCTTGCGAGGTTTGTTTTTAGCTGCTACAGAAGGCTTCGAAGTCTCTATTCAAAGAAAAAATCAATTCTATATTTATTGGAGCTCTATTCATATATCTGAATCGAAAAATAGACTTACATCTTCTATAGATCCTGTTGACATTCTAGCTTGCTATCAGGTTGTTTTATGAATCTCAGACTCATTATAGGTTCAATTTTTTTTATTCTGCTCACAAAGGAACAATTGATTAACAATTTGAATAGGATTTTATAAATCATTTTGCAGGACCGGTAACAGCAGGAGATGTTAGTATGTTTCATTTGATTCAATTCAAATATTTCAGACTCGTGAGTTGTTCTCTCATAGCGGACTGTTTGTCTATGACTTCAAAGGCGATGAGTCTTGGCACGTGTGTGATGATTGTGTGTTTAACAATTCATAGTTTTCTTTCAATTGAGAGTTTAAATTAGCTTATATTTTGTAGATTATGACTTGAAATGAGGTTTTCACAGACTATCAAAGCTTCTCTGCTATTTTGGCCAAGTTTTATGATGTTCAAGATCCTAGCCCTTTCTGTCATAAATGAGGATAAACGTATGAAATTGAACTTTATAAATGAGGTATAGTCCCTTACCCTGTTCTTGGGATTAATCATTTCTTCATTACATTTGCTTCAGAATGGGATAGTGTTTTGAGAAAATCGGTGTAAATCGTAACGTGCGTGATATATTGGATGAATAATATAGGAGAATAAAATGCATATTTTTAGACCACATTGAGCTATTGAAACTTTCTAAACACACCACTGATACTCTCAGTTTGGTTGGTTGATTCGCATATGAAATTCTGGTTTGGAAGCTAAGCTGTTCTAGTGTTATTTTTTCCTAAATTCAAAATGTTGATATGATGGATAGTGGAGCTGATATTTTTTGTCCAGGCCTTTTAGATGAAACCTTTAGATACGTGTTAGTAGTATCTCGACAGTAGAACCTCTAGTTAAGATTTACTCTAGTTATTTGTATTACAAACTACAAAGTTCTTATTTTATTATAACTTGGTAAAGTTTTAAACATTTTTTTTTATTTGTTTGGGTTCAGGTTTCAGAAAAAATGCTTTAAGAGTGATCATTGGCAGAAACGATAAACACAAGACCTTCATTGGTTATTGGATCGAATAGGCTGTTGGAAGAGCATATGGTACTTCCGTAAGATTATTTGATTAATGATAAATGCACTTTATTTGAATTACATGTTGATCATACTCTATTTGAAGTACATGTTAGGGAGCACCTCTTCAATATTGGTATTTTCCAACTATGTGCAGGTTTTTGTTATTGACCCCAAACTTTTTTAGGACTAAAGATTAGATGTTGTTTTGGATGTTTTTTGCACGTGACATTGTTTCAATTAACAAGATGTATTGTTTTGGATCTTGTTGTGCAGGTGATATTGTTGCAATTAGGAAGATGTATATTTGGAGGAAAAGCGTTCTTTTGAAAGTTTCTGTTGTTAATTTCTACTAAGTTAGTAATCTTTGTTTTATTTTTTAAAATTATAACTTTTAAAGGTTCTCTATTGATTTAAACAACTTGTTAATGTGGTATGGACAAAGAAGGGGACTCAATATATATTCAGTTTACTTCTCTTTTAATATATTTTAAAACTATGTTTTGTACATGTAAAGTGACTGATTTTGGAAGTTTATATGTGTTTAGGATATCTTGGATATTTGATTGTCACCATAATATGGTGGCATCTCATCAGAAGGCGATTGAAAGGAAGTCAATGTTGGCTGGTAATTCTTTCTGTGTTCATTTTTCTCGTAAGCTACTTGATTTCATGTGGCATTGGCAGGCATGTGTATTTTTCTTCAGTTTGATTATTGTGTCTTTCCTAAGGTTTTTCCACTTTTGTCTCCATTATGCTACGTTCCTCATCATTTGAGAAGTAACTGATGAAACTTGATGCCACCCTTTTGGATTGACATGTTTTCCTCTTGATTTAAAGTTTCAGGTGTAAGTACTTTAATCCATGACTCTTACTCTAGAGCAGTTTTAAATCATGTGCATTTGACTTTTAGATTAGGATTAAAATCCTCTTCTAGGCCGGTGAATATGCAATTGGTTGTATTTTTTACATTATAGTAATTTTAAATTTTAGTAATCAAATTTAGTATGTTATTATCCATGCTTGGCTGTTTGAACTTGTATTTATGCTCTTTTGGATAAGGAGTTATGCTTGAACTATTGAACAAATGGTAGTTAGCTTTTCCAAAATTATTTGATTGATGATGAATGCCCTTAATATAATAATTGAGATTACTCATTTTCTATATATCAGGATTTTTTAGGCGGAAATCTGTAATTATATTTTAATTTATTTTTTTGAAAAAATAGCAGCTTTAGCGTCGACATATCGACGCAAATGATGTTTTTAATTTTTTCAGATTTACGAATTTTTGCGTTGACAAAGTTGACGCAAAAGATACATTGTATTTGCGTCGACCGAAGTCGACGCTAATAATGTTGTTGCGTCGAGGTTTTTGCGTCAACCCATTAGCGTCCACATGTCGATGCAAATATAGTATTTGCGTCCACTTTTAACTTTTTGTGTCGACTTTTTATCGACGCAAAAAACACTTTTTCTTGTAGTGTGAAGTGGAAGAGTGCATCGAGATTTCTATGTGATCGAGATATGCCGACTAGATTGAAGGGTAAATTTTATCGGATAACAATTAGGCATTCACTAATGTATGGCGTGGAGTGTTGGACGGTGAAACAATGTCACATTCAAAAGATGAGTGTGACAGAGATGTGTATTTACGTTAGATGTGTGGACATACCAGAAAAGACTGCTAGAGGACCGAGATAATTGGACAAAAAGTGGGAGTATCACCTATAGACGATAAAATGCGCGCAAGAGTCTCAATTGCAGTGGTTTGGTCATGTGCATAGAAGACCGTGTGATGCACCTCTTAGACGAATTGAGAGTAGGGATGGACCGGTTCGGGCTCGGTTCGGGCCTGGGCCCGGCCGAGCCTCGGTTCATGAAGGGGAGGCCCAGAACCGGCCCGGGTAACCCCCGGGTCCGGTTCGGGCCGAGCCTCGGTTCTATTTTTTTTTGGCTTTTCTTAGTTAACCCCCAACCCTCCCCCTCACCCCCAAACCAACCCTAACCACCTCAAATGGCCCAAAATACCCAGCCCAACCCAAAAACTTAAAAAAAATTCAAAACAAAATAATAAATTGGCCCGGCCCGGGCCCGAACCGGCCGGGCCGGTTCACCTTTTGAAGGGCCCGAGCCCGAACCGCCATCCCACCGGGGCGGGTGGCCCGAACCGGGCAACCAACCGGTTCACCGGGCCGGTCCGGGCCCGCACAGTAACGGGCCGGTCCGGGCCCGCACAGTAGCGAGCCGGTCCAGTCCGGGCCGGTTGGCCCAACCCGAGTCCACTCCTAGTTGAGAGTTGGGGAGAACAGGCAGGTAGGAGGGGGGTGAAGAACCAAACAAACTTGAATTAGAGGAATCAAAACTGATATGCATCTTCTTGGGTTGAATAAGAGTATGACTTTGGACAGAGCAAAGTGAAGAGTGCATATATGTGTGGGTGATTCATCTCTTTTCTTCATTTTCCATTTCTTTTTTTCTTTCTTTCTTTTATCTTTTATTTTATTTATGATTCCATGTTCTTATGTTTATCTTTTATTTTTCTTATCTCTTTTATCTTTTATCTATCTTATGTTCTTATGTTACTTTTATCTTTTCCATTTTATCTTACCTTATTTATTTCTTATCTTTCTTCTCTTTTTTGTCTTGATATCGTGGATTGATTCATGTTAGCCGATCCCAAAATATTTTTGGGATTAAGACTTGTATAGTTGTAAGTTGTTATTGTTGTATAGTTATATTATATGTAGTACTACATATATTTGAAAAAGGATTGGCCCCTCCTAGATTAAAATCCTAGATTCGCCCTTGCGTGTGTGTATACCAAGGGAAAAATAATTCAAATACCCCCAACTTTGAAGGGGTGTGAAGTGAACATCCCAAACTTGAGCATGTAATAAAAATATCCCGAACTTTATATAAAAGTTATGTTACCACCAAGATCATATGATTTTTCTATGACAAATGTAATCGATAATTTAAATACATTCAACATTAATGAGAATGCAATTAACACTCAAGCTCTTAGCTTCTATTTATGGAATAACTAATAATTTATTAGTCTATATATATGTTAATTGTATCCTCACAAATGCTAAATAATTTTGAATTGTGTACTTAAGACCATAAATTACATTTGTCAAAGAAAATCATATGATCGTGGGTGCTAACATAACCTTTTATATAAAGTTCGGGATATTTATATTACATGCGCAAGTTTGGGGTGTTCACCTCACATCTCTTCAAAGTTTAGGGTATTTAAATTATTTTTACCGTATACCAAATGTCATTATGTATACCAAATCTAGGATTGGTCCCTCCTAGATTAAAATCCAATGACATTTTTTTTTACAAAAAGTGGGAGAATTTTCAATCATTGGAGGTGATGGTGCTGGGACGCGGTGGAAAAGGTATCCATTTTTTTATAGGTTTCTACTATTTTTTAATAATTTATTTAAAAAATCATAATTCAAAATAATATCATTCTTATAAATTTTTATTTTAAAAATATTTTATTTATTTTTATATACAATTTTTTTTCGATTTTTATTATTTTTTATGATTTTATTATGAATTAAAACATTTCATTATGAATTAATACTTTTAGGAATTTAAAAAGTAATAATAGTCCTATTAGTGCTTTTCATGAAAACTTTAGTGCTATTATGGGTGGGACAATTGGTAGTTCCTCGGGTTGGAGTTTGTTTGTTTGTTTTGACTTGTTTTATTTTGCAGTTTTCTTTTTTGTTTTATAAAAAAAGTACTATATCCGTCCCATTTTACTTTGACCAATTATTATAACTAATACTACTATATTTATGCAAAATTTAATAAATTTATATTTTTATAATACTACGTAGTATTTTTTACAAAGAACATTTCCATATCATTCTCATATTATCAATACTTTTATATACGATAGTATTAATATATAATCAGTCAAAATTAGAAATTATTAAATTGAAAAATGAAATTTAACCAACTAAAATGCGACACATGGAGTATATATGATTTACCCGGCCACATTACCCGCACGGGTAGCTCAGTTGGTCGAGTGGTGTGAAAATTGGACCAAGTGACCAAGGTTCGAAACTCGCAGCGACCGTGTGGAGGTTACAGAATCTGAAATAAGACTGGACCTCTGGTGCACACGTGCATAAGGTCTAACGCCGTTTTGCTGACTGTGATTAACCTCTCCACCATCCTATCGAGTTGGGGTGGGGGGCTTGAGTCGGGTTGGGGTGGGGGGCTTGGGGTTGGGCATTCAACCTTTTGAATCAAGGTTTACCCGGCCACAAGGGGCCGGCCGTGGGAGTATTAAATTAACTCTGGTTGAGTCAGAAAGGTGTGAGTCTTTGAAAACTCAGCCAAGTATCATGTGAAATTCAGGAGATTATGTAAGTACTGCATGCAAGCCAGTACGTACACATTAAAAACCTCTACTATACGTATTATATATCCAGTCCGATCCGCCCATATTTCTTGTGACCTCATTCTACAAATCTCCACCTATTATTTCTTTATTAATTCATCTCCATCCAGCCCCACCCCCATTATATATATATATATATATATATATATATATATATATATATATATATATATATATATATATATATATATATATATATATATATATATATATAGCTGCAAAAAGTTTTCATTGACCTAGCAAACGTAGTGTCTTTTATACATAAATTAAAGGCCAAAAAGCTGCAGATTAAGAGGGATTGGTCGATATATATATCAATATATCATGAAGGCAATGGTAATTGGAATTGGATTGAGGCGTAATAGTGTTTTGCTTCTTGTCATCACTGTGGGGTTTTGGCTACTCCCCATTACCCACGCCCTTAGACCATCTCACTGTAAGTTCTTGCATGCATGTTTTCATTACTTGCTACGAACCAATGCTCGGTTAGGATGTTTTCTTTAACACCGTTTTCAGTACGAGATCAGACCAAACCAGACTTAAACATACCAAAACAGACTTGGACAGTTATAAAATACACAGAATCCAGGCGTTTAACAGACCAGACTAGCAAATTTCAATCCAAAAGAAAACATCCTTACTCCGGCCCTTACAATGTTTATAAAATCTTTAATTTGATTTGATTTAGCAATTTTGATCAACGTATATTTGTGAAACTTATTAATTTATACGCGCGGAGTACTTTTCTGAAAGTGTTTTTATTGATGAACGTTTTCATATCATTAATTTTTTTTATTAATATTATATATCTCTCAAATTAGTTAACAGTAGTGATTATCTTACCACATGCATGTACATTCCAGTTGCTGATTACCAAGGGAATGGACTTGACAATGGTGACCAGCCCGCAGATAATAAGGGCGAACAGGTTTGTCGCATATTTTAGCTATACACCTACACGTGCACAGGTCTCCTCCCATTATCCGGCCTAATCTGGTATTCCTTCCCTCCCAAATTGAAATGCAAAAATAATTGTTTTTGGATTAAAGCGATTCATTTTATTCACTAAATTTGGACAGGAAAAATTGGTTGTAATAATCTCAACTATTGGCGGTCCGCTTATAATAATCCCAACTATCGATTATCTCAGAATAATTCCAATTTTAGTGACATTCCGCCAATAATGATCCGACATGACCGGCTATAAATAAATTTCTATAATTTCTAAAGTGGATGAGGAGAGATATAACAAGTAATCCCTATAAATAATTCAACTTTTAATTTTTACGCTTAATTTCTATTTAAAATTCACTTGTTATAGCAGGTCATTAAAGTTGGGATTATTCTGAGATAATCGATAGTTGAGATTATTATAAGCGGACCACCAATAGTTGGGATTATTACAATCAATTTTTCCATTTGGATATCAAGTTTTAACTACATATTAATTTGGATTTTATAACTTGATAGAGATTTTAAATTAGTGTCTGAATATATAAATTTTTATTATTGAAATTGAATTAATTATTATCTATAGGAAGAATTTAACTTTAAAATCTAGTTTTTGAGTTTAGGGTCAATAGGAATTAATAATGAGTAGGAAGAATTGACAAAAAAATATTAACTTTGCAGAACAAGTTGGGACGACGTACATAGTAATTTACACTACTTCATTCAAAAAGAATCACAGAATTGACTTTTCTTGATCTGTGAGTGGGAGTAAAAACATGTGAATGATTCAAAAATAATGGAATGCATGGTGCAGGATGAAGTGAGGAAGGGGGAGCTGGTGTACGGAACAGGGGGGTCCAGCCGTCCAGACTGTAGCCATGCATGTGGGCCATGCTCTCCATGCAAGAGGGTGATGGTTAGCTTCAAGTGCGCAGCTGCTGAGTCTTGCCCCGTTGTTTACCGATGCTCCTGCAGAGGCAAATTCTATCACGTTCCTTCCAATTAATCTACTTCCAGACTTAATTATTTTATTTTATTTTATTTTCTCTGCAGCTTTGTAGTGTACGTTAAACTAGTAATTAGTTGTAGCCTATTAATTCTCACTATAATTAATTAATTTCGTGTAGCAGTCTTTAATTTTTAATTTGCTCCATAATTTATATGGCAGACCACAATTTTCCATGTAATATTAGTGAACAAGATCGATCAACGTGTGATTGGTGGGGTTAACCTTCGGTTTTCAATTAACTCTTTGTCCAAGTTTAAATGTTTATTCAACTTATTAGAGTGAGAGAGTTCTCTCGCTAGCAGTCCAAGGTGCGATGAAATTCATGTTTGGCTGGGATGAAGGTGGTGTTGGGATCGAGCGCAAGGAGTTAAAGATCCGATTTTGGCCTGAGTGGCAGACCTGTGGTGCGGCGATTTGGCTGATTTCACTCCGGCCACTTTGAGGCCAGGGAAGCTGATTGCGGCGATTCAGGAATGATTCGAGGCGAAGATGCTGATTCAGATGTTTGGCGATATGGAAATGGATGAGGAAGATGCGGCTATGGTGGCGAAAGTCACGGCTTGGGGTGCGGCGGATGGGAGGCTAGCGCTTGATTGGATCATCACTTCGGAAAAATTGTGTTTGGGCATTGTTGAAGTATCATTCACAACGGTTATGTTGGTCCGACCTCCTCCTGAACCACCGCCATGGAACACACGACTTGGAGTTTTGTCTGTCTGTGGAGGGTCTCATTTAGAAGTGATCAAGAATAATTGAAGTTGACAAGTAGTGATAGGCTCGTCTAGTTTGCATTTTAACATTGTTTTCTTCCAGTTTGTTTTTTATTTTGGAACCTTGGTTGTTTGGGTGTGTTGTGCTTAGGAGGCGGGTAGGTATTTTATGCTAAGGAGTAAGATGGCTTCAAAAGCTGAGATAATCTTCAAAACTCTCAAAGGGTTAGCGACTCAATTTGCTCTATTTAGGGTGGTCGTTTCTATGTCTAATCAAAGGGTGAGGGGATCTTCGAGTTATGGTGAGTTTGGTAGTAGGAGGCTATCCATTATTGAGAAGTTTGTAATGTCGTTTGTTCTTGAATTCTAATATAATCATTTAGTTTCCTTTAAGAAAAATAATTGGAGAGAAGAAGCGTGAGACCTGAAAACGGACGGGGCATGGATTGATGCTACAAACTATCTATTCCACGGATGGCACACTATTAAAACGAGTATGAGAAGAGGGGGTGTGCATCCAATATACTCGGGGGAATAGGTGATTTTAATAGGTGCCCTGGTTTGTAATGCCAGTTCATATCTGCCCATAGATTACACGGAAGGCATGTGTGGCCTGGGTACGAGCGGATATAAGAAGAGGGAATGTCATATGTGCATTCAGGGAATATGTGATTGATCCCTGGTAGGTCATGCATAAGGGAAGAGGGGACATAAAACTCAAGCAATAAGGAACGAGCTTCTTCGGAGGAGACGAGCAGTTATATGATTGAAGATTTACTCTCCAAGGGAAAGGAAGTAGCTAATGATCAAGAGGAAGAATCAAGAAAGCGCAGAGTGACATAACCGCGTATTGACTAGAAAGAAAATGGATGAATATGACTAAAAAACATGCTGAATGAGGTGCTTTGTGGAAGACATCACCTATCTCATATCCTCATCAATGGAACTGAATTTTTTTAGCAAGGAGGTAGCTGGGTGGCGGGAGGCATTATAGCGTGGGAGCGGTATAGGGGGAGCATCTTGCTCCTAGAGTTATATGAGATGTAAATCATGTGGATCAACATGTAACTTCAGGTTAATCAAAATGTAAATTACACTCATTCAAATGTAACTCGTTAAATTATAAACTGCTTAAATTGAAATGTAACTTGGAAACAGATCAGATATAACTTGGCTAATGTAACTTGCCTATTGAAATGTAAAAAGCCTTTACAAAGATGTAACTTAAGACCAATGAAGATATAAATTGTGTTCATCAAAATATAACTCGAGTCCAACAAAACATAAAAAGAAACCAGTGTAGCAGCTTCTTCCTAGACCAGCAGCTTCCAGTAAGTTGCCTCATACCATTAGCCTTGTCCCACAACCAGTAGCCTCCCAACCCATCATACGGTCCTCGCAACTCATCCTACAAAAGCCTCATCTCAGAAACACAGATTGATGATTGAGTTTCTGCAGGTTCAGTGACAGATTCCTAACGAGACAACAACAAGTAAGGAGAAGAACCAATGATCTCTCTTTATGATGAGACTCTGCGACCAAGAGATGACGGCTGCAGGAGTTCAATTTGGATCTGCCATGACGACTATGGTTTTCTACGGATTTGTGCTCTCTTTTTTAATTAATAAAATGATGTATGTTTGGAATCTGCACACTATGATCATGGTGGGCCGATACCACAATATAAATTGCTGGGTGGGGGGATGTCATTTCCTTAATTACCTTTAACGATGGCTAATCAAATGACGGGTTCGTTCTCGGAGTCTGGGAAAAGTGGACTTTTGTTTCATAGTGCTAGTTATTCTTGTCAAGACAATTTTTTGTTTACTGTTCTCTCACTTTCAAGTATTAGGTACAACTATCGCTACGAGCGCCTATCTTGTTCTATGTCTCAACTCAGAGTAGTCTCTCACATTATAGTCTTATTCCATGTTACTCTTATAAATAATAATTAAGTTATTTTTTGCCCAAAAAATTCATAATCGAGTAGCTTGCGAGCTTTTCGAGTCAATATTCTACGCAATATAACTTGAGCTTAATTTGACTTGGTTCGAGCCGAGTTCGAGTTTGAGTTGAGTTTGAACCGAGTTGAGTTTGAATTGAGTTGATTACTATTCATGTTCGAGTACTAATCGAGTCGAGTACTAGGTTTGAGTACGAGCTGAGTCGATTCATGTAACTTGTGATTCAGTTTGCTTGCTTGGTACCTGTGATGGGCGTATAAATACCATATCTAGGTTTTTTTTTGAAAAATTTGATACAATGCTAACTTTTCTTTTAGGACTTTTCTTTTAGCATTGTTCATGTCAAAAGTCTAAACCTATTAATTCATTTAGAGCATGCTAGGTATCAATGAGATTGACTAAATCAGCTGAATCTGTTGAAATTGATGAAATTCTGAATGATGTAGTTGTATTAGCTGAATATGTTGAATTGTGTACAGATTATATTTAAAATACATTTTTATTAATAAATAAAGAAAGTATTATACAAAAAATAGTAAAGAGAGTCTTCTATATTAATTTTTCAAGTAATTTAGTCAAATAAATAGCTGAAACATGTTTTATTTTGATGATTTGATGATTCAAAATCTAAAATGTTTTTTTCGAAAGAAGAAGACTTAATTACTTAAATTGATATCACAACATTCAGATAAAAGACAAATAGATAAAATGACCATTTCCAACCGTCAGATCTCGAACCAAATTTAGAGTCAAAATCACTTACCTAAAATATAGGTTTTGCCACTTCTAGTCTTTCGATTATTATGTCATTGACATTTTTGATACTCGCCCTTTGATTTTTTCGTCTTTTAGTGTTCGACTATTGCGATAGAGATACTTTTGGTATTCGTCTTTGAAAATTTCCATATTTAATCTTTCGATTTTCATAAAAGTGACACTTTTGATCCTTTAACTATTATAATAATAACATTTTTAGTCATTCACTTATTGTGTCAAAATCATAGTGGAAAGATTAAAAGTGTCAATCTGATAATACTTATAGAACTAAATGTGGAAAACTTTATAATCGAGGACTCAAAGTGTTCATAGCACCATAGTCGATGACTAAAATTGAAAAATTAAAAGTTGAATACCAAAATTATAAATTTGACAATAGTTGGGGGACGAAAATGACAAAAACTCTCAAAAATAGTCACAAAGTTCAACTTTGTTGAAGATTTAAATAAACAAAAATGATGTTTGTACACACTCTTATACACACTTTTGTACACACTTATGTCTGTGAAAGCTTTTTTTTTATCTGTGAACATCGATTCATAGACAATGTTTTGCACAAACAAAATATTGTCTGTGAACCGGATTCACAGACAAAGAAAAATACTTCACGGACATGATGTGGTGTGTATAAGTTGTGTACCGTACCTGGTTGGTCCTTAAATAAAACGACTTCTCCGAGCATGGTTGCTCCTTTCCTCTAAAATAATATGGGGAGATGGACTGGTAGTGGGAAAGACATCAGAAAAAGAAAGAAATGTAAAGAAAAACAAGAACCCTAGTCCCGGAAAGATCTAACAACCGCATCCAGTGGGTGCTAGATTCGTCGTCTCCATTCCCCTCTCCACCTTTTGCAGAAAAAGACCTCTGGTGGCCGTCAACTTGCTGCAACTACCCCATCATCCCCGGATTCACACGAGTCTGTAATTCTGTATATCGCACTTCATCGACTCCCAGACCTTAGTGAGTAGCGAGCAGCACCCTGATATCATCGTCTCCACCGAATCAGTTCTCATATCCCTCCCAATTCAACGCGGCTCAAGCGCAACAGGAAGAACATACGGTATAACCTTACCCGATTCACACCTGCCAGCTGGCCCAACTTCTTCCATACCAAAACAGCGAAGCCCTTACTGTGATTGTGCACAGTGCATTTCGCCTCAGTTTGAAAAGATTTTACCCTGAACTCCACTCATTGCTCTTCTAACACCCCTGAACCTGCTATTGTTCCCCTTCTTATGTGTCCCAGCCATGTCCGAGGCCTTTGACCTCGTATCTAGTCAACCATACACCAAGTGGACTGTCCTACGCGTCTCCGAGGTATGCCCTACTTCATTGTACTCGTGTGGTTGTGTTTGCCACGAGATTTATCTTCACGATTGGCGTGTCTGAGCTCCATTCGTTTTTAATTTGAATTCTGTACAATTATATTTGCCTCTATATATCTGGCAAGACCTGACGTTTTATGGTAGATGACAAAAGTTTGTTTACTTTTTATGGTGCGAACTGTTGTACTGCTATTGCAAGTTTTCTTGCTTCAATTGAACTTTGGAGTATCTTGAATTACAACTAGTATTATTCTGTTGTGTAAAAACTTCAATGCTTCAATTTTCCGCCGCAAAACTTCAAATTGCGCCTCACTCATGCTCAGGGATGTTGTGATGCAAGGCGTAACTAGTTTCAAGCAATACCAAGACTATCGCCTTTTATGTGCAAGTCGCACACCACAAGGAGTACGATTAGGGGCGCAGTAAGACTTAAGCAATTGGAGTTTCAATTGGATTAACCATAGTATTTTAATATTACACCCTGCTATGTATGCCACTCATCGGCTCTGCCATCTCTTCATTGTCAGTCTGCCTCTTCTACTCTTGTTTGCATTTTGCATCTGGCTGTCTCCAACTCTGCAAGTTTTTTTTGCCTTCATTTCTCCTCTTCTCTGCCTCTCTTTTGTCTCCCATTCTCTTTCCTCTCTTAGTTCATGGTACGGTCATTTTTTACATCCTTCCAGTAATATCATGCTTGGTATTATTAAATATGTTGTGTAAGCCTCGGTATTAGTGTTACTTTGTTATACATTTATGTTTATGCAAAAATATATATTCCTGGTTGGGTAATAATTAGATGCAGTATTATTTTTCCCCATGTTAATATGTGTACAGTAAGAGTTATGGCATCAATCTAATAAGCAGAATTTCAGAATAAAAAAGTTCTATCATCTTATGTTTGAATTTTCCATCATTTGAAATGGACCCAAAGATTTACTATTTTTTGGCTTGGGAATATGATGGAATAAAGCAAAATGGCTCACTAAACTGTCTGCGCTTCTTTGTTGTGAAGCAGCAGTTACTTCATAGGTCATCCGGAAATAGTGTCTTTATGCTTTTGTACATGGCTAAGGTTGCGTACATCTGACCCCCCTACCCCACTGTAGATGGGAGCCTTTGCGGCACTGGTGTAATGCTGATGATCTTATGTTTGAACCAACGATTTCCATCACTTTATTGCATTATTGTTGGCTTGTTTATGAAATTTGTTTCTAGGATGAATATTTACTTCCTTTTACTTCTAACTAACTAACTATATATATACACACAGATATATATATATATATATATATATATGTGTGTGTGTGTGTGTGTGTGTGTGTGTGTGTGTGTGTGTGTGTGTAAGAGTTATGCCCCATCCTTACGCCTTATTGTGCGCAATGAGGCTTACACAATACACAATCTTTAAAAAACGCTTCAAATATGCAATACGCAATTCTGAACCTTGCTTCAATTAACTAATGGATTCATTGGTTTATCAGAAAATTGGCTCGTATTATGTATGAGTAATTTCAATGATATTGTCATCGTCTATTTTTACCCATATACCAGGTTAGATGAGGATGAGGCCACATGAACTGATAGTTCTAGCTAGTTTATAAATGATGTAGCTGTGTAATGGTTACCTCTTTATATTAGAAGGCTAGTTTATTCAAATTGTCAGTGACCAGATGCCCAGACAGGCATATTTTATTTTTAAGAAACTTCAATGATTTTGATATAATTAAACTCTAGTAGGAGAGTGGTTTGGTGCCCTTTGTTATGCTCATTTCTAGTTTCTACATTTTTGGTTCGAGTTGTGTCATGAATGATCTGGTCCCCTAGTTAGATATTTATATTTGAGTATGTGCTGTTAAACAGGTATTTGCATAAAGTCACTGTGGCTATGCATGCTTATGTAGGTTCAATATACTATAATAGAATTCCAGTTTTTTCAATGAATCACATAGATTATATAATACTTTTATAAATAGAAAAGTATAATGTTTGCTTTTCGTTTACTTAAAGTCCCATCCCTAGGCCTTCATCACTTAAGGGACGTGTGTGACAAATTGCCAAATTCGTACATTATGCCCCTGTCATTATATTTAACATCTTAGGTTTCAATATTTTATGAAGTTCCTGATTCTAATATTTTAAAGTTTGGCACTCATATGTCAAACATGGATACTTCATCCAGAATCTACAAAGGGCAGGGGTATGTGGGTCACTTATAAAAAGAACTTCTTCTTAAGCAGACTCCTGATGCTTAACACACAAAGTCCATTAGTTTTTTTGTCTGGCTTGTGTGTTTATAACTTCACACTAACCTCAATGTTTTTGAGTTAGTATACCTTCACCCCCGGTGGGAAGTTATTTTGATCATCTTTGTTTATTTTTGAAAATTTGTTAACCTCTTTTTGCTTGGAATTGTTCACATGTTCCTAATAAATGCCTCCTTTAAATCTTACGGGTTCTTTTTCCTTCTTCTTGCCAGTGTGCTGTTAATCATGGTATCGAGCACATATTCAGCAAATTGATTACTAAAATTGGAGATCCTATTGACTTTGAACTTCCCGACTGGTTAAATAAGTGGCAGCCTATGCCATACACCAATATAAGACGCAGTATCCTTTTCAACTTGGTTACAGCTGTAATATCCCAAATTGCCATTTACAATTAACTAGTTTGTCTTTCTCTGGTTTAGAAAATGGTTTGTAAATTCATATGACATGTCATGTACATTATTTTATATTCAAGTGAATATGTGGGTTTTTCACTTTATGGTTGACTGTTTCCCTCCTATGGGCTGTTGCTTTCCCTAGCTTTTCATGTTGCTCATACATTAACTAATTAAGATGTATATCACACCAAGAGGATTAAGAAGCGTTTGGAAGATGATGGCATTTTTTGTTCCTGCAACTCTATAGCTGGATCTTCTGGTGTCTGTGGTAGGGATTGCCTCTGCAGGTGAGATTTGAATATTCGATTAATTGAATGTCTGTTGTAAGTATGATGCATGAATCATGATAGTACTCTGAAAGGCATGAAAATATGTGCCATTTGATCCATGGTTTTGATTCTCATGAGCACCCTAAACTATTTAATTGTACACTTACTGTATAACATACTCCCCAATTTGATAAGTCATTTGGTTAGGTATTTTAAATAAAGTTATCTAATTGATACAAAAATTGAAATAATTGAACTGGAATTCTGTTGAATGACACAATATCGATGCTAATATCTCTGGTAGTCTGGTCATATGACTTCTATTCATCCAGCTTTTGTGTAGAATACATAATTATATTTATGCATACAATTACATTACATTCATACATGACATCCAAAATATGATAAGTATAACTCAGTCTCAATCTTTTTATCATATTTATAAATCCTAATATACCAAAAAAAATAGTCTTTAAATCCCAAATCACAAATGATGCTCTTTTTGTCTTCTAAATCTTTCAAACTACTCCACTGCCAAGCAAGGTAAAAATTATCTCCTATAAGCTTTTGTATGCTCCTAACTGAAACTTAGAGGAGCAGAAGAGCTGAATGTGTTTATGCATAGAAAACGTGCTGCAGAAGAGCTCAACGACTAGCGTTTATGCATAGAAAATTTATTACAATATGGACTCTAGCACGAGTTGTATTGTAATTGTTAACCCGTCAAGTTTCCTGAAAAGGATGATGCATTGCTATAAAAAGAGCTGTATTCTTTACCTTGTATTTCTTAGGGTTAGTTTTTTTTATCTGATTCTCCAAATGCAGATTTAAGTTGCTCAGTGTGTGTTTTCTTTGTGTATGTATATATGTGTGTGTACATATAATTAGATATAAACTTCGTCTTTTGTCCTTTAGTTTATGACTAGTTATTCCTTTACTTTATTGTACCAGCTTGCTAATGTCTTGCTGCTCCTCTGGATGTAAATGTAATTCATCATGCCTCAATAAACCTTTCCATCAACGCCTTGCCAAGAAGCTGAGAATAGTTAAGGTATTTTTTGTTTTCTGGGAAGAAAGTCATGTTAGCAGAAGCAACTTAGATTAATGACATCTTTATTTTGTATCCTTTATATCCTATTTCTTTTGTTTTTTGTCACCTGTACTTGCACAAAGATCAAGGGACCCTTTCTGTTTATTCTTATTGGGAGTGGGATTGTTTGTGTGCTCAAGTTGAGTAAATCAAACAAAGGCTTGAAAATTTCTCTTGGATATAGGGATAGCAACCTAAAACAAAAAGAATTCAAATATATTGTAGGATTTCTTCAGTTCTGCAATTCAAGATTGGCACTTTCTAAGGGAGTGTTTGCAAGAAATTAAAAAGAAACGCTTTCCAACTTTTGGCTTAAAAAAGTTAAATTAGTGTTTTCAAACACATGCTGCTATAATTAAGCACTTTAAAGCTAAAAGCTAAAAGCATATATAATTGAACACGAGCTGGCTAGCTATTTACAGGTGGTAGAAGAAATATAAAGGGAAAAGGAAGAAAAACATTCACTATAACATTCATATTATATCCATTATTAGTTAACAAAGGAACATTGTTGGGGAGTTGGTTTACTGTGTATACACACTAATGTGTCTTCGTAGTTCATACATGATTGTATTTGCATAATTTTTGGTAGTATGTTAAAGTCTGCAATTGTTCAATTTGGCTTTGACTTTATAATGTTTAACATATTTAAATAACAGTGTTGTGAAATTCTATCACTCTATTGTAGTTTGCCTTGCTCTTTTTTTATTTATAAACGGCTTATATTAATATTAAGAAAACATGCAAAACAACCTCCACACAGCTATTACATATCCGATCGTAAGCCCTAGGAATAGACTTAGAGTCAGCCACTCCATACAAAGCATCCTGACTCGCTAGACACAAAACGGGTAATTGTAAGCCTAAAACGATCGAAACCGAAGCACTGCCTATCAAGAGTCCTCCCAAAATCCAAATATGACAACCATACCTACTCGAACTAAAATAAAAACAAGTACTCATCATCATCATCATCACCCCAGTTCCACAAAAGCTCCCACCCACGGTGGGGTAAGGGGGGTCGGATGTACGCAGTCTTACCCCTGTACTAAAGCACATGGAGACTGTTTCCAGATGACCCATAGTGAAAATCGCGTCGAAAATTGCATGGACTGACTGCTGCTTCATAACAAAAACGCAGACAGTTTAGTGAGCCATTTTTCTTTATTCCATCATATTCCCAAACCAAAAAATAATGAGTCTTTGGCTTCATTGCAATTGATGGAAAAAAATATAAAAAAATGTTTCCTATAGCTTCTTATTCTACAAATATTAAAGAATCTGCAGATATTAACCTTCTAAACATGTTTCCTCATTACTGTCTAACTTTTCCAATTCTACTTGCAGACAGAGAAATGCGGCTCAGGTATTGTGGCTGATGAAGATATTAAGTGTAAAGACTTCATTATAGAATATGTTGGGGAAGGTAAGAGATTTAGTTTGTATGTTTGATGAAATCATTATTAGAACTCTGCTCATAGTATTTTCACAAACCTAGAGAATATTTGGTGCAGTTATTGATGATAAGACATGCGAGGAGAGACTCTGGAAAATGAAGCATAGCGGGGAAACTAATTTTTACTTGTGTGAAATCAACCGGGATACAGTTATTGATGCAACTTACAAGGGAAACAAATCAAGATACATTAATCATAGTTGCTGTCCAAATACTGAGATGCAGAAATGGTATGTTTTTTGCTATGTAATTCATGCCTGCTACACTCACCTTCTCTTCTTCTTTTCTTAATATTTTTACATGCTGTTGTATTATAGGACGGTTGATGGAGAAACAAGAATTGGCATTTTTGCAACTTGCGACATAAAAAGGGGCGAGCATCTAACCTACGATTATCAGTATGGGTGATTTATATAATTATATACTCTGTATTATTTTTTGCTTCAATTTTTTATCTGAGCTATAAAATTATGCCTTTACAATCACCTATGTGTTGTATTCACAAAGAAAAAAAGGCCCAAGTTTCCCACACTATTGGTGGGACAAATACTCAGCAGTCAGCACCTAGATGCCCTACTCCACCTACCCTGAGTTTTGTAATACTATTTGTTTAATATTATATGAGTAAGTTCAGCCATCGCCACTCAGTTGAAGTAAAGAATCAAACCCCTGGACTAGAATATTTTTTACCTTCTATGTGCATCTCAGTTGGGATTAAGGCTTGGATGTTGTTGTTGTATGTGCATCTCAGTTACTCATATGCTAAGAACCCACATGGAATCCTCTTTTGTTATTTATAAATTTGAATGTTGTATTGTTGTGATGTGATTATATTTTGAGCATTGGTTTTTATTAGTATTTAATACTATTTATGTATCATGAAATGTACTTTATATTGAAACTAAATGTTTGTCACATAGGTTTTATCAACAAGGAAAAACCTTAGGTTAATTATACCTTATCCCTAAGAACCATTTGGCCATCTTAGGTGGATACACATACACTTAAGTGTGGTGCCTAACAAATTTTAGAACATCATTTCTATGAAAAAAGCCAATAATAGGTTAGCTATACCTTATATAGTTATGTCTCAGGCTCTCAGCACCCCCTATGGATCCTCGTTGGCTAGGCTTAGTCTGGCACCTAATGAATTTCAGAACTTAGTTTTTTTTGGATGAACTTTACAGGTTGGTACCTTTATGCTTGAGCATATCCTTGTATATTTGTCTAAAAAGGGTAGCAGGTTTGTACAATTTGGTGCAGATCAGGATTGCCACTGTGGAGCTGTAGGCTGTAGAAAAAAACTTGGTGTCAAACCAACCAAAACAAAGATATCATCTTCAGAAGCTGCATTGCATTTAGTAGCCTGTCAGGTTGCTGCTACATCACCCAAAGTGAGAGCACTTTTATCTGCAAGAGAGGTAGTTGTTAACTACGGAGTATTAAGGATTATTGTTACCTAGAGAGATAAAATTATGATAGCCCTGGTCACTGACTCACTAGCTGTAAAAGACTTAAAGCAGTTAGTTTTGAACTTTCTGAGTTTTAGAGTAGTTCTGTTGAATGTTTTCCTGGTAATGAAATTATTGAAACATTTGGCCAAATGATTATCTTCCTTCTAGTTATTTCTTTCCATTGCTGTCCTTTTCTTTTACTCCCTCCGTCCCAATTTGATGGACTCGTTTCTTTTGGGCACAAGTTTTAATAAAGTGGTTGAAAAGGTAAAAGTTGTGGTTGAGATTTGAGTATAATAAAGTGAAATGATATGGACCACATCTTTCTTTCCAAAAAGGGAAACAAGACCATCATTTTGGGACATCCCAAAAAGGAAATACAGGACCATCATTATGGGACGGAGGTAGTAATAAATACTCAATTAGAAAAAATATGTGAGCTGCCCTCTGCCCCCATCTCCTTTCACAGGTTTTTTCTTCAATAGGATGATTAGTATGGTATCACTAATATATGAACCGTTCTCCATGCTGCACTTGCTGATTTCCTGTCCAGCTACTTTTTAAAGCTCACTTTAAAATTTAGCTTGTTGATCTTAATAGCATATTAAATACATGTTTGTGATCCTTTACAAATATAGACTTTTTCCCATGAATATTTGTGCTAAATGCCCTTTCTTTTTCCTTTTCTTCTACATGGAAGGCCTATCAAAATGGTGGTTGTGTAGCAGGTAAAACGGCTTTTGTCTTTCTCTATCCATTTTTTCCAGTTCTTATTTCACAACATAATGTTCCATTCACTTTTCACTTGGAGTCTGTGTGACACTATTCTTTTCCATGCTCAGGAAGCTCATTTTATGATCCTGCTGAAAGAGTAAGGAGTTCACCCAACTGCATTGGTCAAGTCATTAGAATAGGCCGCTCTTCAGATAATGGGTTTGTCTGACTTTCCACTTTCTAATTTATTCAGTCCCCATCATCTCTAAAATGAACATGGTCTGCAAATGGGTTTAGATTTGGATACAACAAGAATCTGTAGAATACGTGTTTCTTTCTTCTCCATATAGGGGCACATTGTACAAAATAAAAAACGTTTATTGTATTCCAAGTTTCCAAGTGTACTTCAAATATGAATAATCTATAGAGCAAGCAATTGCAGTAGGTTAGTTCCTTAGAGCATCTCCAATGTCACAATGAGCACTGTGCACATGTGGCATGAGAGAGATAGACACATGAATATTAGCAAGTAAATTATCTCTCTCCTTATTTGAACAATATATATGTTTTTGGTAAGTTTTCTCCACAATGTCAAGACAAGCGTCTACATGTAGACATTGTGGTTGACATTGTTTATAAAAAGTTACCGAAAAGGCAAAAACATATAAAACCGTAGAAAGAGAGATAGAGATCAATGTCATTTATTTATTTTTAGGGTGCTTCTACGGTGCACTCCTTAATTTGGTGTGTTTTGGTACACATCCTTTTTGACCACAAATCCCATTATATCTTAATCTTACGCCACCTAATATCCTCATTAACTAAACATAATAATTTGCCATTTTTGCATTTGGACCCTTCATCGGATTATAAAAAAAGGTTAAACTGAACAAAATCGTCAATGAAGATTTATTTAAATAGGAATAAATAAATATTTAATTGTCAAAGTATGTGCAAAGTTTAAAAGTATTCTAAATAGGAATTATTATTTGTAGTTGGATAGGAGTACTAAAGTACCCCTTGAAGCTTGACAAAACTTAATGCAGCCGAACATCGTTGTTGACCGCTGACAGCCGGCGCTACACATCTGGCCGCCGCCTCCGTACATCTGGTCAGATCTGGGCGTCACCGATCTGACCATCGACATTGCACATCTTGCCATGAACCACCACCGTGCATCTGACCAGATCTGGCCACGTCGGCCGCCGGCACTAAAGATCCGACGACCGACGTGGCCTACACTGACATAGGGAACTAGGGGGCAATTGTTTATAGGTTTAAATATGATTCAAGTCCCTGCAAAATATTTTTTTTATGTTTTTCATCCTTGTATTATGCGTTATTTGGTTTTTAGTATATCACTAAAAAAATTCATCCCTATAAATTTTTTGAGGAAAATATGAGAGTTAAAAAAATAAAAACTAATTACTCACATTTTTAAAATACGTATTAAATTCCATTATTATCATCAGTGGTAGACTAAAAGAAAAACTAACATACATTTTAGAAATGAAAAACACAAAAATAATTTTGCAGGGATACTATATTTGTAGAGACAAAAAAAATATTTGTACCTTATTTATATTAGGAAGGACAAATATGGTATAAAAGTCCTATTTAAAAAATAAAAATATACATAGTCCTATTTAGAAATTTAAGAAACAATTCAATCATATTTAGGCTAATAACTCAATCCTCACTACAAGTCATTAATCATATTTAGTAGCACAATACTAAAATGTGATTGGATAAGAAAATATGTGTACCGATGCACTAAAAAATTAGGAGTGCACCGTAGAATTTTCCTTATTTTTATGTGTCTATCTCTCTCATGCCACACGTGCACTGTGCACATTGTTGCATTAGTGATGCTCTTAGTGATGTGTTGGTGTGCATTGTTGGTTGTAAAGGTGCAATGGTGAAGGTGCAATGATCTACTTTCTAATGGGAGCTATGTTTCAGGTCTTTTGGAATTATAAAACACTATGATAGCACAACAAGAAAACATTTGGTAAGATTCCATTAGTTCATGTATGTATGACACTAAGACTTAATTAGACTAAAGATATAACGTTTGTCGTTGTCAACAGATAATGTTTGAAGATGGAAAGAACGAATACTTTGACTTGTCAAAAGAAGATTGGCAACTGTGTTAACTCTTTTTTGTAAATCACTCATCAGGCAAGTCTTAGTGTATTATATTGCCTGTTTAAACTTTGCGCTCATGCTTTATGTCTCCTTGCCCTTGCTTTGGACACAAGTTTACCAGTGTTGAAATGCTAATAGAGTTACATTGTACAAGTCATTCACTCATTCTAGAATTGTGCGTCTAAGCTGGCTCCATATGAAGTCATAGATTATTCTTCCCCTAATACATAAAATATGACATTTAGGTCGTTTATAGGGACTAAAGAGTTTTGGCCCCTCACTGGAGTACTTAACCCCTGCATTGTCTTTGAAGTGATATAGTTAGTTTCTTATGTAATTTCTTGAATTTAGTTGTTTTACATGCACACGATCTTCCTCTTGAATGTCTTGTGATTTTCTTTATTTCCCTAAGTGAGAAATCAACTTCTAACTTCCAAATGTAATTCATACAATAGTTTTGTGAATTAGAAATTTTTGAAGATAAGGGATAGCTGACATATTTAGCAAGTATGCAGGAAATTTTTTTCATCTCTTTGAGTAACTACCCTGACTAGAATTTGGTTGTTTTAAGTATCAAACCATTTTTCTCTTCAAAGTTTTTTGGCAGATTCTCTCTGAATGAGTAGTGGTCAACCATGTAGTTTAAGCCAATAAGAAATTAGGATCAAGTCATTTGTCTCAGAAATGCTCTCACTAAGTTACTGGTATCTAGCTTTGAAGTTGTGAAGTAATCAAAGAATCCTTCAAAAAATTTCTATGTTGAAGCTAAATTTGAGACGGACCGAAAAGGAAAGAATGAAGATAATTCCGGGACGGAGGGAGTAATTGTTTTCTTATCATTCTTGTCATTTTTAATGGCTTGTTGGGGATTCGTTGTATTTCAGGAATGGAGTAAAAAAGTTAACAGGACTGTAGAACATGCTTCTTCTAATTGACTGATGTTGATCGTTAATCCTTTGCTGTACACTTGTACCAATCCAGTTGTATAATTGTGTACACCTTACTACGCAATCCTTTTTCTTCAATTTGTCAGTAAAGCATGAGATAGCCATTACATTCATTAATTCAGAATGAATTTCTAGATATGAAAGTTGTAACTTGGTAGTATTAATTCATGAAATAGCCATTACATTCATTAATTCATGAATTCATTCCATGTAAACATTAGAAACTTGAAAGTGGCAAAGACAATTTTCTTGAGATTCAAATACTTATTTTTTTGTGTTGATTACTCGTTGGCTTCTTGCCTTGTTGAATGGGTACATCATGTAAATAACTGTACTCTTAAGTATGTAAAATTATTTACATATATAACAAATTTGCTTAGAATCGGAAAATTTCATGAGGACTTGGGTTCGAGACTTCGAGTATTTGTCGAAGAGAAGCTTTTATTTGCAAGTTTCGCAAATTAACTTTGAAGTATATTTTTTGCCAATGGGTTTGGAACTTGGAAGGGTTGAAACTTTCTAACTTGAAAGGGAAGAATTGAGTGAGCATATTAGTGTGCTCATTGCCTCATTCTATATTTCTATATCTGTGATCTGAAAGGGAACCAATGTAACCTGAATTTTGGAGGGACCCATGGTTAGCCAGGTTTAGAAATATGGTATATAAATATATACTACTCTATCTGTTTGTATATATTATACGGAGTAGTCGAGTAGATATTAAGAAATTAAAATTTTCTAAATATCAGTGGTTATAATTCTAGTAAATAAACAGAGCCATATAATACTTTCATTTAAAGCAAGATTGGTATATATTTAGGACATATTAGTGGAATAGTGGAGTATCGAACTCCTTATCAAGCATAGATTTAAAAATTAATATGTTGATTAGTTTTATAGATGAAAACGCGATAATGTTGTTAAAATTTGAACAATTATTCAAATAAAACACTCAGTAATGTATATAAATTCCTCAAGATTCTAATTCACTGATCAGTCCTTTGATGATAAATGTTACCAACATGAAGTCATGATCGAAGGGCCGAGCTTGGAGTTTTAATTTTTAAATGACCCTAGCCTCTTCTAAGGAGCCATAATCAAATCAATACACTATATGCATGAGTCCTCGAACTGCTTATATACATAATACATTATTAGATACGGAGTAGTTTCCTATTACTCCAAGTGAAACTGTTGATATAAATCATTAAATGTTTTTACTTATATTGGTTTTAGTCCCTGATCAGTAAGCTAGACTAGACCAGACTTTGACAATTGTAAAATATATACATAGATCAGATATTACTAGAAAAGTTCAGACTAGATCAAATCAAACCAAATTATATTTAAATAGACTTCACCGGATCAAAGCAGACCAGTTAGAAACATCCTCAATTTTTTGAATCTCAATATTATTTAACTTTGATCGGCATTAACACAATTATGCTAATAGGGGTTACAATCGTGGGCGTGTAAATTCTGAGTGTAATATTATTCTTCTTTGTCCTTCGACCTTCATGCACATATAACGTATTACCTGTCCCATTCAACTTTGATAAGTTGATGTTAGATGAGAAATTATAATAGTAAAATTTGTGTGGTTGAAGTTTGTGCAGAGGGGAGAGAAATGAATAGAGCCACAAAATATTACTCCCTCTGTCCCCCTATTATTGTCCCATTTCCTATTCACTTGGTCAACACAAATAACTCTGAATCTCTTACTTTATTTATCAAATTTTTATCAAACTTGATTCTGGTTTTTGCGACTTTGTAAACCTTTTAATGTAGTTTCTGAATATGCAATTTTTTTTCCTAAAAATAATTCTAGTGCGGACAGGGATCTGTTTGCTTTATCGTCAGTCAAACATCGTAAACCGCAATGGGACAATAACAGGGGGACGGAGGTAGTACTTTAAAAGGAAAGTGACAAAGTTTTTTGGGACAAACAAAAAAGGAAAGTTGGTAAAGTCCAGTGGAATGGAGGGAGTATTAGACTAATAATTAGCATAAAAAGATGCATATATCTGACAAATGAATAATAGTATAGTGCCTTGTATAAATAATACGGAGTAATAATAATAATTACAATATTATTCAGTGTTAATATTATTGTGAAATATGGTGGCTGAACTCAATCATGTTTCAATCATTCAACCACTTAGAGTGGCAACAACTATAAGCCCGGTAACACTGAAATTAGCTGAATAAGTTGATTTTTTTGAAGTTCGGTTAAAGTGATTGGATTGACTGATTTTGCCGATTTACGAAAAAATAATATAAAATATTTTTTTATTAATATGACAAAGAAAAAATTATATGAAAGTTAGATAAAATGATCATCATACCGTCAGAAAGTATTCAACCTAACTTTTTTTTATTATTACACATTTCAGCCCGCGAATTAAAAGTTACGTGTTTGATGAAAAAGTTAACTGAAAAGCCTGATTTACCAAAAAACATAGTCACCAAATGGTCTCTATATTTTTACACCCAATAAAATCTTCTTTGACTCAATTGTTCAATATTCAGTAAGAATGGGGCGTCATCCTTTTTTTTTCAAAAATATAATTCTCAAAGTTTCCCCTCTTTATTCTTCTTCCGCATCAGAGAGCTAAAAAGTGTTGTCCTCCGCCTCTTGCGACTAGTCCTTCGACGGGGAGATTGTCCTCCTTCTCAAGGTTTATATCTTCTCTTTTTCCCAATTTTTTTTCATCTTTTTCGCTGCTCTCAATCTCACTTGCAGTAATCGATCTTTCCATCTATGATATATTTTCATTGATTTATCTGTAATTTTGGGCTCTCTTTTATAATTGGACCGAAAGAAATTATATATCACCAATTCGTTTTCATCTTTTATGAGGCTATCTTTGCCTCGACGATGTATGCCGCTATAGCTAAAAATGCGCCAGTTTAGCTATATCCGATTCATGCTGCTATCTTTTTCACGTTAGGCCTTTTGTAAATTATCTAAAAATACAGATGGCTATATGTTTCCTGTGCTTAAGATAATACAATAGTGCTTGCTTACACACCATGGTAAGTTTTCAAAGCTTTATTATCATAAAAAAGATGTATTTACCCACCAGGTTTTACCCCTCAATAATAACGCGATTGTGTGAACTAATGATTCCAGTTGAATCTGTCTTTCTCACCGATAATCATTAGCTAAAACTGTCATTTTATCAAGGTATATTTTTTATTATCTGTAATTTATTTTTCATCCAATGCGTGGTAATGTGCATTTACTAATTTTGCTTTTTTTATTGATATGTTTTCAAGCATGAGGATATTTTTGTCAATTTAAGTGAAAACACTTTTTAACACTTCATTTTTTTAATTATACCAAACATGGTAGGATTATTTTTAACACTTACCTTCACTTCCAGGCCCCTGCCAACTCTTACTAACACTACCTTCCCTTCAGGCGAGTTCTGGGCCCTTGACAACTTTTTCTAACACTTGAAAACATATTTTTGATATGTTTTCAAGTATGAGAATATTTTTGTCAATTTAAGTGAAAACGCTTTATTAACACTTCATTTTTTTAATTCTACCAAACAGGGTAGGATTATTTTTGTCAATTTAAGTGAAAACATTTTATTAACATTTCATTTTTTAATTCTACCGAACCGGGTAGGATTATTTTTAACATTTACCTTCCCTTCGGGGCACCTGCCAAATCTTACTGACACTTCCATTACTTACGCCTCCTAACACTCCATCCAAACCCTTCATCCTATCCTTCGAAATGTTGAATGGACAATAACTCAAAATTATCCTCCAATTTTAGTTTTTTGTCTTGTTTTTCTGTTGTAAAAATTGGTCTGAACCAACTACTTCAAGTAACTGAACGTCGGAACCTATTTCAGTCTGGCCGGGTTTTGAAATTAAAGTGCACCGGGAAATTAGGGCTTTTGTATGTCATTTCCAATTTCAGTTCCAGAGCAATGGAGGAAACTATAGACCGAAGGGCGTCGGGGACAGTTGATTTATCCGGCAATCTTTGCTCTGCAATGGATTTGACCGGCAGGGTGCATCAGTTGCCTTGCTGTATCAAGTACAATGGTTCTTCTGAAGTTTCTAACTACTTCAGACCCAAACCTACTGGTATGAATGAACCGTCCAAAGTTGTCTGTTTCAAATCTGAAGATATGTGAAGTTTCTGATGATCAATCCACACATTTTCTGTTTCAAATTTTGATTTGGACGTGAAGAGGTAGTGTTTGATGGGCTAAGCGTAGAGGAAGCTCAATTTCGAGGAAGGAAGCTCCAGGGCACCACGCTTCCGATTCCGCAAGGCTATTCTGGTAATTCCCTCTGTTTTCTTGTAGCTGTTCTTCATAAATAATATCCAGAGTCAATGACGATTACACAGTCCAGTCTCAACCTATGTAAAAATACCTTTAGGTTATTGAAGATTTGAAGTAAGTACTTCATGAGTAGCTAAGATTCGATAGTGGATTGGAAATAGTGCACAATCATCTATAATGGACATGGTGTTCTTTTGTTTTAAATTAGATGCATATGATTTTGTGAACATTCACTGCCTTTAAAACAGATAATTTTCACTGTCAAAGGTATGTTCTTTATGCTCACATTGTAGACTAGTTGGGGTTGTATTAGTCAAAGAGAAGATGCATCCTTCTGATTTCTTCAAAAGTTTTGGCCTTTTTGTTCTTTGGACCTTCTGTTTAAGTTGGTACTCACTTCCCACCACATACGTAGTATGTTTGATGGTTATACATGAAGATTCCCTATTCATTGGGAAACAAACTGGGAGAGGAAATACAAGGGAAAATAGGGTGAAGGGAGACTTGAAAAGAAAATAGGGTAAGATTGGAGTTACTTTTCTGGGTGTTTTGGTTGAAGTTACTGTAGAGGATCATTTTAGTTATTTTTCATATAATTTTTAATTTATTGATAACAAATATTTTTAATATAATTTTTTCATGAATTAGCAGAATCAGCCAATACAGCCAGAACTTCATAAATTTCAGCAGAATCATCCAATTCAACCAATTTTAGTGTTACCAAATGGACTCTACATGTTGTTGAAGGCACTCACGGTTTGTAAATAATTGGCAGAAAAGGTTCTCCGGCATGAGGAGCTCCAAGGAGCCCCCACTTTTGATTTTGGCAAACAAGCAGGTAATTTCTTGGAAAAGGTACAAATATACCCTAATAGTATGGGTGTGAGTACAAATATACCCCGTTCTATTTTTCGGAACAAATATATCCCTGAAGTATATTTTAAAGTGCATATATATGCCTGAACTTTTAAAAAGTGCAAAAATACCTTTCATGTTGTTAGGATGATTTTACTTGGACTGTAATTCCTCCCGGACCAGACCAGACTTGGATAGTTATAAAAATACAAAGAAACCAGACCAGACCAGCAAATTACAGTCCAAGTAAAAACATCCTTATAAAGGAGCAAATTTACCTTTATTGACTTTAAATAAATAAAATAAATTTCAAAAATATCAAAAATAAATTATAAATTCAAAACTTAAAAATAAAGATTTATTATTATGTTAAAATATTAATTCTTTAATTTTAAATTGAAAATTTTTTATTTTTCCGTTGTAAATGAAGCACGTCAAATTCATTAATTTTAATTTTAGTCTTGTTGTGAAATTTTGAACACATTGTTACATTTTTTGAAATAACATTCTTTGATTTTGTTTAACCTTAATAAAATTTAATTCACCGTTTTGTAGTCTTGGACTATTTATCATCATCCAAAATATGTAATTATATAGTTCAAAAAATGCAAAAAAAAAATAATTTTTTTACATTGCAACACATATGTTAACACTTTTTTGAAAGAATCTTAAATATATAGTTAAGGTTTGAAATAATATTTTATACTAACAATATTAAATTGTGATATTCTAACAATAAAAGGGAGAATGGGACACGAGTACATTTTTTATTTTTTATTTTTTAATTCCGAATTTATAATTTGTTTTTGGTGTTTTTTGAAATTTATTTTATTAATTTAAAGTTAATAAGGGTAAATTTGCTCTTTTATATGAATATGAGGAGTAATTTTGCACCTTTTAAAAGTTCAGGGTATATATGCACCTCCACATACAGTTTAGGGGTATATTTGTTCCCCCTAAACTTGTTCCGAAAAATAGAATTGGGGTATATTCGTTCTCACACCCATACTACAGGGGTATATTTGTACCTTTTCCCAAATTTCTTTGATTTCCTTGGCCATGTTTGGAACATAGAATATGGTAGGGAAAGGCAAAAGAAACATTAAATAAAATAGATTGGAGTGTTGGTTTTGACTTGAAAAATACAATGACAAAACTGTTTTTCTTTGATTTCACATTTTCTAGATTTCTTGGTTTGAAACGTATAAATAAGTCGAGCTTGAACAAGCTTTATTTTTCCTAAAATTTATTTCCTTCCAAACTCCCCCTTTGTTTTAATTCGTATTTTGTTTAACTAACATTTTACGGGTTCCAAACGGACCATTAGAGAAAATGGAACAATTTTGTGTTGCTGAAGATTGTTTTTTCATGAGCGTATTAGGGGAATGGACAACAATTTTGATGGAACTCCTAAGCTTTGTTAACAACAATTTTAATGTTTCTTGAACTTGTTGACACCAGGATCTGGCTAAAGCTGTTTCATTGGAAGAACTTGACCGGTATCTCGATCTCAATAAATTAGATGAGAGAGTCTACACTTATCAAGCCGTTTCAGCATATGAAGGGTGAGTGGGAGAACTATTTCAATAAAGCACTAACTTCATTAGTTTTGCTTTCAGTTGATGGTCAATAAAAGTGCAAACATTGGTTTTTTTCGTTTAGTTGATAAAAGTGCAAAAAATGGTTTGTTTGTTTGTTTGTGTGTGTTTCTGAAATGAATGAAATGCAAGTAAATGACACCTTAACTGTCATTTATGACATTAATTTATTGATAAATAATTTGTAAAACATAATTTAGATAATTGAAAATATTAGTCACGGAGACGCAATTGCAACATAAGTCATCATGCATCATAACCCAAAACTTACCATAATTTAGTGGTTGTGACTAAACTAACTTGACTTTTGGTTACAGGACTGGAATCAAGGAGAGCGTGAACTGGCTTGTGAATGCTATGGAGAGAAGTAAGCGAACAGAAAGGCCATATTAATAATAGGTAGTATTAGCATTTCATACTCTGTAAGACTGTAATCTGTATGATCCTTGTGTAAGTAATCCATTTCTTACTTTATTGGTAGCTTGTAAAATTTAAACCAGTAAACACTTGAATGACATTTGGAAATTTCATGATTATCAATGTATACAATGGTCAAATTTCAGAAACGTCATTCAAAATGTATAGAAATGATAATAAAAGGATTTAAGGATTCTGCAAATGTTCAAAGCATGTTGCAAACAAAAACATGATTAAAGACTGTTTCAAAACATCAAAAATTACAACTCACTTATGCAAACAGTGATACAGAAATGACTGTATACTTTCAGAAATTGAGCTCATGATTAGTCGCACAAACCAAAGAAAAAATAGCACTCCCTGATGTTCAGGCAGTTCGTTATTATTGATATAAAATGATTTTCATTGGAAACAATTGCTTAACATGTAGGGATGGACTCGGGTCCGGGCCGGGTCCGGGTCAGGCCTAGGCCCGGGCGGGCCGGCGGGTCAGAAATGGTGGACCCGGGTAACTACCGGGTCTGGTCCGGGTCCGGTCCGGGCCGGGCCCATTATATTTTTTTTTTGTTTTCCTCTTCCTAATTAACCCCCCTCCCACCCCCAACCCCCCAAACCACCCCAAATGGCCCAAAATACCCAGCCCAACCCAAAAATTTAAAAAAAAATTGAAAAAAAAAAAAGTTTTTTGCCCGAACCGGGCCCGGCCGGGTCAGGCCTTGTTTTGGGTGACCCGAGCTCGGACCGTAAAACCCACGGGCCGGGCCTACCCGGACCGGTCACTGACCGGGCCACCGGGTCGGGCCGGGCCAGAACAGTACCGGTCCCGGGCCGGTTCCGGGTCGGGCCACCCGGCCCGAGTCCATCCCTACTACCAAGTATCTTAGTTTTCTTTGCATTTGAATTAGTTTTTTGTTTTTTAATATTTTTTTAAGGATCTTCCAAAAAAATTAAGGAAAACAGAAGACACAATAAATTGATCGATTTTTTGTTAATTCGTCATTTAATGCTTTTTCTTCAAGAAATGCCCAATCTGGGTGAACTAAAATACGGGAAACGTCAACTTTTACTAAAAAAACGCTTGTTCATAGAGTTTCCAAAGAGTTTCCGAAACGGAAACATACTCTTTCCTGAGAATTTTCGTGTTTTCCATGCTTTCCATGTTCAAAAACTCCCACAACCCCAGCGAAGCAAGTTTCAATTCTCAAACCAGAGAAATAAGCCACACTCATGTTTATTTTCTACAGTTAATAACATACAATAACCCCCTAAATGAGATTTCATTCCCAAGGATCGAAAGTTGAGGCACCCAAAATAACAAAATTAGCAAAAACTTTTTGCTTGACTTAAAATGGGAGATGCAAACAAAACATAAGAAAAGAACTTCATCATTCGTCAATCAGCTTTTCAATTGATACAGAGTCCAGTTCCTCAGTGCTCAATGGTCGATGAAGCTGCAATAGTAAATACTTTTCAACTATCAACAACATCCAAGCCTTAATCCAAAAAGACTTTTCAATTATATGCACAAACAAAAGGCATACCAAAAAACAAATCTGAACGCCAAATGAGCCCATTTAGTATTTGCTTTATTCAACATATAAACCAGATTTTCTACCAAACTACCTTATGTGATAATATTACATTTATCAGCTTATAATATACGAAGTACTGCAATAATTACTTGTTTAGGCTGATAACTGTTTTGAAAAATAACATTTGAAATATATTTTTAGACAATTCAGCCAAAAATTTAACATATCCTGCCATTTCAGTGAAACTTGTCAACGTTGCTCTGAACTCAGGATCAGTTGTTGGCATGGATCAATGGGTCAATATTGGAATCAGGGATCACTAGTTGAACCACATGACCTGGTTGATGTAAGAAAAATCCCAAAGACGCCTTAATATGTACTATATATACTTCACTAATATTTTCTCATAAATATGACAAGTATCTCACTATTTTGTATCCACTGAAATATAAACAGACGAAGGTCTGACAGAATACAATGAGAATCTACAATCGATCATTTAAGTTCATGCTCGAAGACATTAAAGTTATTACCCTCATCTCTTGATTGCATTCTCATTTTGGCTTTAAAAATCTATAATAAATTATTATTTCAATAATGCTTTGTGAGTATTGAAACAATAAACAACAACAACAACCTCCTGATCAAATTTTGTTTTACAAACAATTAAATTCAATTTGAAATTGGACACCTACAAACTAATTTTATAAACAAAGACAGCTACTGTGGAGACACAAAATGTAACAGCAGCAATTGTCCGAGGTGGTAAATGTGGAAGATGCTACTAACAGTACACCTACAACTAGTGACTACTACCACACTACTAATGTTGTCACTAGTTGTATAGAAAATATTGAAGATGAGATTTTTTGTATTTATAGATTTTGCCAGATAGCGTTATGTAACCTTTCCCATAAAACAAATTATTCAAAAGAACTTTCATGTTATAAAATAAATAATTCTTGAATAACAAGAAATATAAGTTAACGAACTTTGACTCTAAAAGTCAAATTGACACACAGTCACACACTAATCAGCCAAATTAGGGGATGTTGGGGGATATAATCCATTGAGAACTTGAGTGTGAGATGGAGGTCTTATGTTTGAAATACACACGCATAAACTATTTTGGGTGGTCAAGAAGATGTGCGGGTTAGCGGTCTGACTAACACTCCTGTTGGTTTTAGTAGGGTGTATCACAATGACTGTTATTTTAAGAGAGGAGTTCCAACATATGTATGGAATATAATATAACTGAGGACTAAGGAGAATCTCTGCACCCAGACAGTCCTGGTATTATATTGAGTTATTGACTATGTTCAACCCAAGAGAAATCAAAATATATGACCATAAGGAACAACTTACTGATAATAGATCAGAACTTACTGCTTTTGCAATATCAAACATGTGAAATGTACGCGGTAAAGCATCATTTTGTGAAGGAACGGTATCATGATTCCAATATGTCAGGTTTTGGAATTTTGCCTTCACCTCCCAACAGTTTGGCCTTTCCTGAGACATACTTCCTTTTCCATCAGGTTTTTTCTTTCCCAAGACAAATCCTGAAGGAATAATACAATATTTTTTATTTTTTTGAAGAACAGAAACTTTACAAATATGTTAAGATTAGGAAACTAAAGAGACAATAGGTAGTTCTGCTAGTGAGGTACGGGTAAGTTAAATTGCCAAAAAAATCTTCAACTCAAGGGCTTATTAAGTGAAATCATATTGTTAGACACTTTGGCCAAGAGCACACAGTATAGCCAGTCATCAACTGCTGTAAATTTGCAATTTTTACGGTATGTGGAAGATAACTCAGCATAATCTTACATCTTCCATGCTGTATTCCAGAGATTTTACGCTAAAGTGCAAAACTGTTGTTTCACAGATTTTATAAGTTGAACATATTCAACAGCTGTGTTGTACAATACTGAACTTGCTCCAAGATATAGATTAATATAGTACAATTACCAGATCAGATGTTACATGCAACATACATTTAAAGTCACTGTGGGAACAAATATTGAAAACTGGTTGAGGAAGAGAAACAAGAGCTAAGAAGGTGTTAATAATATGTTTTGGTGGTAAGGTGTTGATAATGTGTTTTGGCAGTAAGAATAAAAAAGGGGGTAATAATATCCCTTCCTCTATCCCATAGTATGTTTCCCTCACGTAACAAGGTTTCACGCAGCGACCGAAATATCTATGAACACTTTTTCTTGTTAAGATTAGAAAATACAAGGGATTTAGAACAAGACATAATGGAAGGTTTGGTATTCTTATATCACATGATCGCATCAAATACTTTTCCTTCCCAAAACGGGAAGAAAATTAGGGTAAAAGTGGCATTACATTTATCAATAATGAATACACACCTGAACTCCTTTTTCATATTCTATCCCCCATCCCTCTCTCCCTTTTACTCTTTTTTCTTCTCACCCAAGCACCTATTTTCTTTTCAAGTCTCCCTTCACCCTATTTTCCCTTGTATTTCCTCTCCCAGTTTGTTTCCCAACGAATAGGGAATCTTCATGTATAACCATCAAACATACTACGTATGTGGGGGGAAGTGAGTACCAACTTAAACAGAAGGTCCAAAGAACAAAAAGGCCAAAACTTTTGAAGAAATCAGAAGGATGCATCTTCTCTTTGACTAATACAACCCCAACTAGTCTACAATGTGAGCATAAAGAACATACCTTTGACAGTGAAAATTATCTGTTTTAAAGGCAGTGAATGTTCACAAAATCATATGCATCTAATTTAAAACAAAAGAACACCATGTCCATTATAGATGATTGTGCACTATTTCCAATCCACTATCGAATCTTAGCTACTCATGAAGTACTTACTTCAAATCTTCAATAACCTAAAGGTATTTTTACATAGGTTGAGACTGGACTGTGTAATCGTCATTGACTCTGGATATTATTTATGAAGAACAGCTACAAGAAAACAGAGGGAATTACCAGAATAGCCTTGCGGAATCGGAAGCGTGGTGCCCTGGAGCTTCCTTCCTCGAAATTGAGCTTCCTCTACGCTTAGCCCATCAAACACTACCTCTTCACGTCCAAATCAAAATTTGAAACAGAAAATGTGTGGATTGATCATCAGAAACTTCACATATCTTCAGATTTGAAACAGACAACTTTGGACGGTTCATTCATACCAGTAGGTTTGGGTCTGAAGTAGTTAGAAACTTCAGAAGAACCATTGTACTTGATACAGCAAGGCAACTGATGCACCCTGCCGGTCAAATCCATTGCAGAGCAAAGATTGCCGGATAAATCAACTGTCCCCGACGCCCTTCGGTCTATAGTTTCCTCCATTGCTCTGGAACTGAAATTGGAAATGACATACAAAAGCCCTAATTTCCCGGTGCACTTTAATTTCAAAACCCGGCCAGACTGAAATAGGTTCCGACGTTCCGTTACTTGAAGTAGTTGGTTCAGACCAATTTTTACAACAGAAAAACAAGACAAAAAACTAAAATTGGAGGATAATTTTGAGTTATTGTCCATTCAACATTTCGAAGGATAGGATGAAGGGTTACTGGTTGTTTGGATGGAGTGTTTGGAGGCGTAAGTAATGGAAGGGAAAGTAAGCCTTAAATATAATCCTACCCTGTTTGGTAGAGTTAATAAATAAAGTGTTAATAAAGTGTTTTCACTCAAATTGACAAAAATATCTTCTTGCTTGAAAACATACCAATGAAAAAACCAAAATTAGTAAATACACATTACCACGCATTGGATGAAAAATAAATTATAGATGAATAAAAAATATCTTGATAAAATGACAGTTATAGCTAATGATTATTGGTGATAAAGACAGATGCAACCGGAATCATTAGTTCAACTTGGTGGGTAAATACATCTTTTTTATGATAATAAAGCTTTGAAATCTTACCTTGATGTGTAAGCAAGCACTATTGTATTATCTTAAGCACGGGAAATATATAGCCATCTGTATTTTTAGATAATTTACAAAAGACCTAACATGAAAAAGATAGTAGCATAAATCGGATATAGCTAAACTTGTGCATTTTTAGCTATAGTGGCATACATCGTCGAGGCAAAGGTAGCCTCATAAAAGATGAAAACGAATTGGTGATATATAATTTCTTTTGCTCCAATTATAAAAGAGAGCCCAATATTACAGATAAATCAATGAAAATATATCATAGATGGAAAGATAGGTTACTGCAAGTGAGATTGAGAGCAGCGAAAAAGATGAAGAAAATTTGGGGAAAAGAGAAGATATAAAACTAGAGAAAGAGGACAATCTCCCTGCTGAAGGACTAGTCGCAAGAGGTGGAGGAGAACAGTTTTTAGCTTTCTGTTGCGGAAGAAGAATAAAGAGAGGAAACGTTGAGAATTATATTTTTGATATAAGAGGGGCAAAGGTTGTCCAACATTTCATTACACCCCAAATTGGGGTGTTAAAAAGTGATAAATATAGGTGTTAGGAAGGTTTTGGCTAATACCCTTAAACACTTAGGAAGGTGTATTCATTTGAGACTTTTGTAGACATTTATAAAATATGAGATTTTAGAAGACCTTTGAGACATTTGTGGATTTGTCTAGATTTGTGTGGATTTGGACATGAGACATATTAAGACACTTTTGGTCTTGATTTATTTAACTTTTTTTCCTTAAAAATAAAAAGTGTCACATATTACAAAAAAAGGTAAACGATGCTACCACTTGTTGAAATAGTAAAAGGATGATAGTAAAAATTCCAACATACATATTCCAACGTACACAAAATCCAACATACTCATTTATTCATGAAAGTATAAAGGTGACATGTGAGCATATCAGTAATATGAACATTGTTATGTTATTGGTCTCTTATGGCAGCTCTCGCGTCCCTAGGTTTTAAAGAACACTAATACTTATGCATATAGTTAAGTAAATATAAATCTTAAACGAATGATGTTCATGTGAACAATACAAGAGCATTGTGAATTCAACATTAACTATCATTATATCATTATAGATTCTCTACCATCTTATAAGCATGAATAATGTTAGGGGTACTGATGGAATAAAAATATTGTTGGTGGTATGCTAAGCGTAATTGACATGTACAAGATGTTTAGATGCTTGTAAACTTTCAAACTTCACCTGGGTTGTCTCCTACGGTCGTTTGTCTCCGTTAATATTCTCGAAGACCCACCTCGCTTCCTTTTGGCCGCACAAGACATTCCGTTCGATCTAATAACAGACCAAGCATCCCGTCGCACATCCCCTTTGGCTTGCAGCCTCTCCTCTTCTTCGATGATTAAATGACAATGGTAATCGAATAACCCTTCCTTCATTTGCTTTCTTTGTCAGCTTATTAGCCGTTGAGAACAGAGACGTCTAGGTCGTGGAGTTACCGAATTGGAATCCAAGTGACAACGAAGACTCAAAGAACAAAGGAATCCCAAATCTGAAGTTGCCTCTGCCATTCCAAGAAGGTCGGTCCGCTCTTCGCCTGAATCACAGAATTGGTCCATCGGATCTTGCTTCAGCGGTTCAGCCGCCTCTGCTTGACTACTACCTGAATCCAGAATCCCCTCTGGCTCTTCTGCGCATCAGGTTTGTCTGTTAATTTTGTGTGAATATTTGATTAAGACAATCTGAAATATTGAATAGTGATTAATGTTTATCCCTTCATCAGTACTTTTGCAGTTTCAGTATTTCCATGTTAATATAAAATTCTAATTAGATTGATGATAGATTATGATTGAGATTTCTGGTTTTTTTTTAATCACAATAGACTGTTAGTGTTAGCTTGTGGGTGAATGTTATTTTTTCATTTGTTTTAATCACTAATGATTAAATGATGTAGATTACATGTAAGGGTGGCATCATGAATTAAACATGTTTAACTGTCACTGTTACAGAGTATCGCTGATTTAGGAAAGGTGACTTTTAGTCACTATTACAGACTACAGAGAAACTAATATTGTTGCTCACTACATGATCAAAAACGCATTTCAAACGTCTGACTTTAATAGTTGCTTTTGTCCTGATGCAGTTCCTTTTAATGTTAAACATGCTATTTTGTCTGATCTTGTTGGATTTTCTTTTATTGGTTGCTTTTTGGGTAAAGTTTAGCCCCCAATTGTACTCTTTCCATTGCCTTATTAATGAACATAATCTGGCACAGGAGGAATCCAACCCCCTAACATTTCAAAAAAGACAATTCATTGAGAAATGGAGGGGAAAGTTTGAAGAAGCTTGCAGCTTATGTCTTTTGCTGCAGATGGTATAACATCAACCTTATCCTTTCTTTTAACAGTATTTATGGTTAGTCTAGGCGATGTTTCCGTATGGTGCTTCCTTCTTGATCTTCTATATGTAACCTGTATGAAAACACCTTCTTCTACAGGTGCCAGAGATGGATCAATAGATAGTTCAATAGGAGGCTGAATAGATGACTCATTATTGTGATTCTATAAAATAATAATGAGTCATTTCCTCCTATTTTCAAACACCCTACGTGTTCCGTGTAATTAGTCATATACTTTAATGTGTAAGGGGAAGGCACTGCAGTAGTGATGTTTTCTTAATGGTAAACTAATGATTCATACATTGTTAGTTTAATATTTCAAATGGTTAGACTGAATTGATTGTGCGGCATATCATGTTCGTATAAGTCACACAAACATAGCGGCAAAATTGTGTTTAGTGATTTTACAAGTAGTTGAAGTACTAAATCGAGTTTTAGAAGTATTTTAGTTTTAAGTGCTAAAATAATTTCTAGCTTGTCATAGCAACCATATGTAATTGAAGTAGGCAGATCTCTAAATCCTCATAACATATATTTTAGCCTTATTCAGGTTTTATCCTAGAATGTCACACTGCAGTTGTACTTCTAGATTGTGTGAAAAAATATGTCCCTAGAGGTTAAGAATTATGTTGCTTAATTACTTAAAAAATTGTCATTTAATTTCAAATAAAACTGTTAATGAGCTTTGAAATCTAACGACATCATAGAGGTGGGGGTGCTCTTTTTTTGCAACTGTTATCAGATCCAATTACAACTTTTTACTACAGGTTCTATCTTCTCACATTCTTTGTATTATATTGTTTATGGATCCTCCGTTCAGTGGATTGCTAGGATCTGTAAAAACATTACGTCTGGAAAATGGATTCAGCTATCAGCTATCTGACGACATCTCTAGCAATTGCTTTTTAGCTTCTCTGAATTTCATGAATAACCATTTGACTGTCACATCCCCTTCCAACCTTTTCTCTTCTCTACCTGGAGAGTTATATTCACCAAATGCTGATGACCCTGTCGCCAAGTACCTCAACCAGATACTACTTGAGGAAAACATCAATGAGAAGCCTTGTATGTTCCATGATGCAATTACTCTTAAAGATGCTGGTGAATCCTTCTTTAAGAACCCTCCCCGTTCTAGAAATATTTCAGCCCCGCCTCAGTGGAATGTTCATCCTTCTGAATCATCAAAGAGTTCAAATTGTTCTTTAAATACGAACAATACCCAAGTGTTAAATGCTGATGACCATGGAAACATGTTTAGTCATGACTCAGAGGCCATAGAGTTGTTCAAGAGATGAATGGAAGAAGCAAGTAAATTTCTCCCTCATGCTCATATTTTTTTAATGACCCCAGAGACTAGCATATTTTTTAGCAATCAGTCTTGAGGTGCGTTTGGCTAGCACGGGGCTGAGCTTTATAGATATGGAGCCCCTAAGGGAATCACTGCTTTTGATAAGTTAAATGCATACCAGGTTTACATGTCAACATGCCCTCTCAAGAAGATTGCAATAGTCTTTGCAAATAAGATGATTTACATGATGTCATCCAAAGCTAAAACACTACATGTCATAGATTTCGGCATGCATTATGGTATAATCGTTTAAAACCAATATACAATATGGTTATTTTCCATTGATAAGTGTATTGAGCATTTACTTGATCGCGCATCGCACGTGTAGAAACTAGTTTACGTATAAAGGGGAGTAAATCTGAAATGATTTTTCTTATCAATTACGTTGTTGGTACTAACAAATGTACTTGAATACACACGTGCAAACATGGTAGATTAATGAAATACAATCTATATAAAAAATTACAATGTACTCCGTATGTAGTTACTAGTAATGAGCCTTTCGGTAAGAAGTTATGGAATAATAAATTGATTTTTACCTTTGTGTAAAAGCAAACCGCAAAACAAATTAGAAAAAATGGCAGATATATTACTTTGAGACTTTTAGTGGACAAATATATGACAGCATTTAAACCTGGACAAAAAAGTGAATAATTTCAATATGAAAAGACAGTATTAGCCTCAAAATAAAGCCAACCCCAATACCCTGCTACGTTGGTCCTGCATCGCATCACTTACTCTGCCTCCCTCAAATCCATCACCATCTCTCCTCCTTCGTCTGTCGATCTGCCGCCCTTCGTCTGTGTCTCTGACTTCGCCGCCACCTCTGATTCCGTCTTCACCGTCTCCGGCTGCTTCTCCTTTCCTCTTCTTCTGCTTCTTCACATCTGACGACGAATGGAGCAGCTCGATAGATTCGAAGGCGGCGGTTCCTCATTGGTTTAGGCTGCTGC